GATCAAACTAATTGAGTCCTTCAGGCTTGTTTGAAACCTACAGGTAAATGTGTTGAAGCAGGGTTGGAACTAAACTGTGCAGGGCTTCGGCCCTCCAGGAATTGAGTTTGACACCCCTGCCACAGACATATGACCCTGCAGCCCAAGACCAGTTACTCACTGAAGCTAAGCAGGGCTGAGCCTGGTCAGTACCAGGGAGACCTGGGAAAACTAAGTAGTGAGACCAGCAGGAGGTGCTCAACCTGTGGTCTGTGAGAGTCCTAATGCCCCAGTAAAGTGAAGGGGAAATTATACTATCTGTAAGCACCATCTTTTGGATTAGATGTTAAACCTGACTCTCTGTGGTCATTAAAAATCTCATTGCACTTCTAGTAAAGAGTAGGGGTGTAACCCCAGTGTCTTGGCCAAATTCTTTTGGCCCTTACCCATCATGGCCTCCTAATCAGTCCCATCCACCAAATTGGATCTATCACTGTCTCTCCACTCCACATATCGCTGGTATGTGGTGAGCCCATTGGCACGTTGTCCTGTGGCTGCTGTTGCATCATCTAAGTGCACGCTGGTGGTGGTGTTGAGAGACACCCCTCATGATTTTAAAGCGCTTTGGGTATATGGCCATACACAATAAATGCGCAATAAACAAACACATTACTTACTTACTTTTTGTATAAAGTGTCTCAAACAGGTTTGGAACAAGTGGAGGATGGGTAAATGATGATACATTTTAGTTGAATCAACACTTTAATTATCCAGTGCTTGATAATTAATCTTTTCACTTTTTTCACTCTGACTCAGTAGCAGAATTTGTTGGTAAAAGAACTGACAGTTTAAAACATTTTCTTGCTAAAAACTAGCATAAATGCTAAGAGATTATGGGGGAAAAAATTATGTTTAAAGGAAACAACCCTCTTTGTGATCTGTGATAAATTCTGTGTTCCTTTTCATGTTGTGGTTTAAAAAAAAAACTTTTTCAAAAGAAACCTTCTTGTATGAACTTTTAAAAATGTTTTCTTGGAGAGAGTACACACATTTTAGTGCGTCAGATCTTATGATAGAGAAGTGACATCATTTCCTCATTTCTTACATATTTATAGGAAACAATTCAGATAAAGGCATCATTGTGATGTTTTATGTAAACATAACCTTTTTAGTTTTATTAGTTTTATAAATTTTTTTATTTTAAATTGGTTTTAATGTTTAATAAATCATTTTCCAATGCTGTTTTCTTATCAGTAGGCATCAGACCTCTCACACAGTCACACGAGCAACTGCAAATGGTGACTGTCTTGTACCAAAGTGTAAGACCTCTTTTGGTCGATCAGTTTTCTCTGTTAAGGAAACCAAATTGTTGAATGATTTACCTGTTAGCCTAAAATTAGAAAGTAATATACATGTTTTTGGCAGTGTTTTTAAAAAGTGGTTAAAAACAAAACGGCAGTGTTTGCACAAATAGTTTACAATTAGTTTGTTTTATCATGCCGCCTTTGCTTTTGCCTTTCAGCAATTTTATGTAAAGAATTATAATGTTGTGTATACAGTTGAAGTCAGAATTATTAGCCCTCCTGTTTATTTTTTCCCCAATTTCTGTTTAACAGAGATAATGGAGTTATAATTAAACATAATAGTATTAATGACTCATTTCTAATAACTGATGTATTTTATCTTTGCTATGATGACAGTATATAATATTTACCAGATATTTTTCAAGACGCTTCAATACAGGTTAAAGTGAAATTTGAATGCTTAACTTAGTTAATAAGGGTAACTAGGCAGGTTAGGATAATTAGGCAAGTTATAGTATAACGATGGTTTGTTCTGTAGACTATTGAGAAAAAAATATAGCTTGCAGGGGCTAATATTTAGACCTTTCAATGGTTTTAAAAAAAATTAAAACTGCTTTTCTTCTAGTCGAAACAAAACAAATAAAACTTTCAGCAGAAGAAAAAATATTATCAGACATACTGTGGAAATTTCCTTGCTGTATTAAACGTCATTTGGTAAATATTTAAATAAGAAAACAAAATTTCAAAGGGGGATTAATAATTTTGACTTCAACTGTATGTATTTATTTTATTTTCATTGTCTGTCAAGCCTTCCGTGGACAGGGGTATAGAATTAGCAAGTCTGCTAAAACACATAAACAACTGAATATGGTTGTTCAATGTAATTATGATGTCCATGTCAAATAAATAAATAAATAAATAAAATAAATAAAGGCAAAGTACGGTACAGTAAAAGAATGCAGTTATAGACCAATCTTTATTAGATAAAAAATATTCTTAAACTGTCTAATGTTGTAAAAGTATTAAAATCACTTTAGGGGTCTTATAAATAAAAAAATATATCAAATAAAATACTCTGATAGCATTCATTCATGGGGTGACGCAGTGGCGCAGTAGATAGTGCTGTCACTTCACAGCAAGAAGGTCTCTGGTTCGAACCTCGGCTGGGTCAGTTGGTATTTCTGTGTGGAGTTTGCATGTTCTCCCTGCATTCGCGTGGGTTTCCTCCCAGTGCTCCGATTTCCCCCACAGTCCAAAGACATGTGGTACAGATGAATTGGGTAGGCTAAATTGTCCATAGTGTACGAGTGTGTATGGATGTTTCCCAGAGATGGGTTACAGCTGGAAGGGCATCCACTGCGTAAAACATATTCTGGATAAGTTGGCGGTTCATTCCGCTGTGGCGACCCCAGATTAATAAAGGGACTAAGCCAAAAAGAAAATAATTGAATGAATGAATGAATGAGTGAGTGAAAATGTATTCATTTTCCTTCTCCTTAGTCTCTATTTTTGAGGTTGCCAAAGCGGAATGAACCGCCAACTATTCCAGCATATGTTTTAAACTGTGGATGCCCTTCCAACTCCAACCCAGTATTGGGAAACACACATACACACTCTTTCACACATACACTCATAAACTATGGCCAATTCAGCTTATTCAGTTCACCTATAGCACATGTCTTAGGACTTGTGGGGGAAACCGGAGCACCCGGAGGAAACCCACACTAACACTGAGAGAACATGCATACTCTACACAGAAATGCCAACTGACCCAGCTTGGAATGGAACCAGCAACCTTCTTGCTATGAGGCGACAGTGCTAACCACTGAGCTACTCTGATAACACTAATACATAATGCATAACTATTTCAGCCAACAAGAAATCATGGTTTATAAGACTGCTTTCTTCAGAAAATATCCTATTGTTATGGCTGGTAAAATACTATGATCTTTGACAATGAGCAGAACATAATTAAAATAATTAAAAATACAACCATTTGAGAGCGGTGCATTGGGCAGCACGATTGCTTCACAGCAAGAAGGTTGCTGATTCGAGCCTCAGTTGGCATTTCTGTGTGGAGTTTGCATGTTCTCACCGTGTTTGCGTGGGTTTCCTCCGGACACTCCGGTTTCCCCCACAGTCCAAAGACATGCGGTACAGGTGAATTGAATTAGCTAAATTGGTCATAGTGTATGTGTGTGAGAGTGTTTGTGGGTGTTTCCCAGTGTTGGGTTGTGGCTGGAAGGGCATCCGCTACATAAAACATATGCTGGATGAGTTGGTGGTTCATTCCGCTGTGGCGACCCCTGATTAATGGACAGGAATGGTTGTCCCAGGACAACCATTTAAATTAAAAAAGAAAATAATGATCTTAGACACTAAATATACCTGCAATCACTCATATGTGACAGCAAAACTGGATACAACACGGCAAGATACTGATACGTAAACAGTGTGATTTGTTGTGGTTGGTTAACTAAAATATGTGTGCAATGTAAATACCAGCCAAAGTGTTCCCACAGTGTTTGCTCATCATGGTTTGTTTTTAGACTATACGGAGTTCATGCAAAAACTGCCCCCGCTCAGTGTAGGATGATTAGTTGCCAACTTTGAGTATGATATCATCTCATACAGGGCCAATCTGAGCGACTCCTACTTCACCAATCGGCAGGATCGTTATGTTCTTCTGGAGGACTGCAAGGAAGTTGCTGATTTCTTTGCTGAACTGGTTGGAGCCGTGGGTGACGTGTCAATGCAGCTCCTGCCTGACAACAGTGTGGAGATGATGGAGGGAAGGGTGCATCCTTACAAAGGCAAGTGTGAGGGATCTGCATATGCATTGTCATACACCATTCAAAATGATACCGTAGTTCATTGAAGAGGCTAAGAGGGGATTTCACTGAGATTTCCTTATGGTGTTCATTTGCATTTGCTGTGTACCTGGCTTGAGTTACTTAAATTATGAGAAATTATGCAAATGAGGAAGAAGTCGAAACACATTCACAACATGCCAAACATCACTTCCTTAGCTCGGAGGCTGATTTGGAGTGACAGATTGTGTGGGATGCAGGTCATGACTGTGAACTGACTCATTTGAAGTTCAACTATTGGGATCCAGGCAGCAAAAGTGGCTCTTTAAAATCTGGAAAGATAAATGTCTTGTTATGATTACTGCAGCCATGGCCTGTTAGTTTGAGAATTGGAGATTTTTTAAATAGATTGGTCCTCCATTATTTGCTTAAACCTTTATTTATGTGTGTGAGCGTAAAATTAAAAATTTTTCAGTATTTTTTCATTTAATTTGAAAAAGAATTATATGAACAATTCCTTTGTATATACAATATGTTATATAATTTTTTATCACAAAAAAGTTGAAGCTCTTTATATTATATAATTATATTAGACAAACAGAAATCTTTTTTTTTTTTTTTAGCTAAGATCTTGCTAGTATGATTTTTGTTTTGTACATTACAAAGAAACTATATGCAATAAATGAAATTACATAAGCATTTATTTGTAAAAAAAAAAAAAAAAAAAGGAAAAAGAAATATATGTTTTAGTTGTTTTGGTTATAAAATTGTAAAAAAAAAAAAAAAACACAAATATGAAATTTTTGCCTCGTTAACTTGGCTTGTTTTTATCAAGGACGTATTATGTTTGCATTAAATAAGGACATATTCAAACTTAAATGTATTCTTTATATATTAAGTTAGGCAGACAGAACCTGAATTTTTCAGAGATATACTTTTCCTTTTTGTCATCTTGGCAGTATTAATGTTCTACTTTTACAAAAAAACAATGGGACATGACTTCTGTTTCCCCTTTCCCTTATTTCCTCATTAAAGCTGTTTGTGTGTGTACGATAAATAACGTCAGTGGATAATTTAAGCATGCAGTGCTACACAACCACGTGCATTGCTTGGTTAAAATGGACCGTGTAGTATGAAAATCTATTATTTATTAAGAGCATCCTTGTTTAGGTGCTGCTAGATTCTCTAAGTGCAAGTGATCAGGCAGCCTTATCAGCATTTTTCTGGCTATGAAAGTATTCCTGATAAGAGAAATGACTGACACTTGTGGTTTCCGCCCATTCTGAAAAGCATGAATCAGAAGATATGATGGTAAGTTACTTATTTCCTCGTAAAACCAGCACTGTGGTGGTAACGCGTTAAATAACAGGAAGCTCAAAGCCTGTTTTTTTTTTTGAGATGCCGATCTTCAGCCAGTGTGTCTTACGGTCCCCAGGCTCAGTGAGGAGCGCGAAACGAGTCAATGAGTGATTATGCTCATTCAGCTTCAGTCCATATCCGTAACCCAGCGCCGTTCGATGACATAATCATGGTGGAGCGGGCCCACAGTTTGTCACAGATCCCAGAAATAGTGCAATGATGTCACCTTGCTGGTGGTAAGTGATCTGTGCTGGGAGGGTTGGAAAGGAGAGATGCAGGAGGATGATAGATTCGGGAAGGAGCTATTTGGACTTTGCTACAGTCTGTCAAGACAATGAGGTCAACGGGAAACGATGGACTGATAGCCAACATCGAGAATAGTGAAGTATGACGGTAAAAGGAGGACGAGCTGGAGTGTGGAGAAGACTAAAAAGCTCCAGTCAGGGTGACATTTCTAAATGCGGCTCAATTGTGATGGGATATGTAGGACGAGAGGTGCCAAAAAAATCATTTCCAGTAAAAGTAAAGGTCTGGTGTATTTCAAGCAGAATCAAACACTAAAATCAGGCCAAAATAAAGTGTGTTTAGGGTTTGCTTTGAAACGGCTTTGAACTAGCATTAGTTTGAAAGTAAATATTCATTCATTCATTCATTTTCCTTTGGATTAGTTCTTGATTTATCAGGGGTCACCACAGTCAAATTGACCACCTACTGAAAGTAAATGTACAAATATGCATTTTTAAGAATAACCTACTGTATGAACTTTTATGACCTACTGTAGACTACAAGGTTTTTAATGGATGGCAGCATAGGCCCGCAGCTCGCTCCCGCACATGCGTTTGTGATGCGGCTGTAAAGCACTGGCCCGATTCCTGTTAACCATATCTGGAGAAGTTGACTTTCCGAAGCAAAGATGCTAGGGATGTAACAATATTGTAAATACCGTCATACCGCAGTAGTAATTTTTTTCAATATTACCGTAGTCGCATGACTCAATAAAACTATATTGCTGAGAAAAGTTTGCTTAGGCGAATGAAGCGAACGGGAGGTAGCGGGAACTACAATTCCCATCAGCCTAGGCGTGGCCATCATCCTTTGCGGTCTGTTTTCACTACAGATCCAGTAATGCTGAAATGGAGTGTGCTGCTAGTAGCGGAGAAGAAAAAGAGCTGGAAATGATCGAAGCTAAAGCGGGTTTTAAATCGGATGTGTGGAAGCATTTCGGTTTCTTTCTAAAAAGATACGAAAAAGGAGACAGAAAGAAAAAAACAATATGCAGGTACTGCCAGACTGTGGTGAAATATAAGTCGGGGAATTCGACTAAAAACACAGCAGACTTGTTAGATTAATGCAGACATTGACTTGTATCTCACTCATGGCTTGTCCTCTCAAGTGGTGGAAAGACAATGCACAACGTTACCCACTGCTGTCAACCTTGGCTAAATCATATCTCTATGTCCCAGAAACCTCAGTCCCAAATGAGAGGGGTTTTTCTGTTGCAGGAGACATGCCCAGGAATCCCAGCTTTTACCAGAGTTATAGTTATAGTTATATGATAATTTTCCTTTAAAAACCCATCTCTATCTAAGTGAGTGTGTGATTAAATGTTGAATGTGATGAGTTTTCAACAATTCTAAATTGAAACTTTATTTTTTTATATATGGTTTAATAGTTTTTTGTTATTAAAATTGAAAAATTTAAATTCCTGTTTCGAAACTTACAGATACATGGCTAATTTGTATGTCATTGATATGTTCAGTGCTAAGGTAAATAAACACTTTTGGCACTTTTTTTTCATCAGTTTCTCTTAATGCGTTTGATTATGCACAGGCAAGCACCCAGTTCAGGTCGACGCTGGAGGAAGATATGAGTTAAGGCAGATATGAGTTTTTGTTCCTCTGTCAAATAAATAAATGAATAATTTAGCTATATGCTTGTCGTGCAAGTTCATTATTAAAATATGGATGAAAAAAGCTATTAGAAAATATGCTTTTTTTTTTAAATTAGAATATGCAAAAATCATACAAATACAAAAAAACATCAACAGATAACAAATACAAAGCAACAAAACAAAAAACAAAAACATCAACAATAGTCAGGTACTGGTATGTGCGTGTGAGTGTGTGTATGCATGTAAAGGTAACTTGGTGGACAGGTCAGAGTACATACATTAGGAACAATAACAGTCAATAAATGAAGCAAGTGTCACAGATATAGATAAAACATATAGAAAGAAACCAGTCAGAGGTAGGGAGTAACAACAATGCTTATTAATGTATGATAGTAAATATGAGAGTAAAAAGAGAGAAAGGACAACAGTAATAACTGACAACAATAATAATAAATCACAAGTGCTACACCAACTACTACTACAGAAAGTTACTTATATTACAACTACTACTGCTTCTACTACAGCCACAACCACGACTACTAATGTGTCTACTAATACTGATACTACTACAACGACTACCACTACTGATACTACTATAGCGTTTGCTACAACTAATACAACAATGTCTACTGCGACTACTACTACTACTACCACTACTACTACTACTACAATCACTTCTACTACATCAACATCAACAACATCTACTACTGATATTACTACACCAACAACGACTACTACTACTACTGTAACAACCACACCATTACTACTTCTGCTACTACTATACCAATGACATCTACTACTACATGAACTACAACTTCTATAATCTCCGTAACAATTACTCAATAACAATCGATACTATTACAATGACTACTACTTCATCTACTACTACTACTACTACTACTACAACTACTACCTTTACAACTACAACAACTGCAACCTTACTAATGTTAATGGTATAAATACTTGTAATAATGATAATGAAAAGATAACAGGACAAGTCAGAACAGTAATAATAATAATGATAACAAAAAATAAAAGTAATACCATTTATGACAAAGATGTCGAGGAAAGGGGAGGATGGGAAATCAGGGAGAGGACAAGTAATAATCATAATAATAATAATAATAACAACAATAATAATAAATAATAATAATAGTAGTAAGTAGTAAGCAGAAGGGGAAAGAGGACAAGAGAAAATAAACTAATAATAATAAACAAAAATTAATAAAATAATAATAATAAAAAATTAAAATTAAAAATTAGAATATTAGAAAATATGCTAATTAATTTACAGTCAATAATAGGTTATGAAGGAATTTTAACAACCCTCTCCGTCAAAATTACAAACAATGACAGAGTCTAACGCGACCTCTGACGAATACATAGAGGTAAAGTTTGTTTCATATTTGCACGTTTGGACTTTCTCCTTAATAATATAATTCCATAAGTATTATTTGCAAACTCTAAATAGCGAAATCATATTAGCGGCCAATGACTATCAAAGTACAACATTGTTCACAGTCAAATAAACAGTGTTAATGTTGTTTTCAAGTTACACTTGCAGGTTATTTCAGACTAAATATTCAAAATGCCGTGGTAAACAATATAGGGAGTGTGTCACAAGTTGTCACTGAATAATTGTGTAAATATAAAACCAACTTTACCTTAATAACTTATACTTTCACGTTTCATTCTTAGCATTTACTGTCCGCAGTTTAATTGACCATATATAACTCTTTTTGCTGAAATTGTTGCAAACAACAACGAGTAGTGTATGAATCAGCATAGCGTGAACCTACCTGATATAACGAGAACTGCAGAGTCCAGCATTTTTAATTAGGTCGTCACTTCGTTCAGCTCCCTTTTAGCCAAAGATGTCTGCTGTTGGCATTAAAATCAGTGTGTTGCATGGTAAAAGTCACAACACAACATGTTTGCTATTGCAACCGGTCTCTTTTTGCAACCGGGAACTCGTGTGACGTCGTGTGACGTGGGTTGGTAAGTCTATAGCGCCTCTGCAAAAAAGTGATGTCATTCCACACGCGTTGCTGTTTCTGTGTGAAGTCAAGAAAGAGTTTTTAAAAATAATGAGAATTATATATATAAACACGGATTTAGAGTCGACCGAAATCAGACATTACCTCAAATAACTTCTGATTCCGATTGGGTCTGAAACCGCAGATCATATCTGAACATCCCTAATTTAGATTGTTCTAGGCATGACCAAAGAATCCATTGATATTAATTATATCATAGAAACCGGTCTGATATTAGCAAAATTTGAGATTATCTCCAGACTATGCCAACAAAAGGTAATGGATTTTAGGTTGATAGATGAAACCAGATCTGGATCAGAACAATCTAAATGATTATCACTTTAGACATTTCATTATAGTTTCTGCCAACAAACGGGCCAATAATTATTGAATCCCTTCAGGCATGTGCAGAACTTTGAAGATTTTCAATGAATACATTTATAAAATAAAGGTTGGGACAACTTCATTTTTTTATGTTCAATCCACTTAGATTTGTAAAAACAATTAAGTTAACCTAATCAATTTGTGTTGGGACAACATGAAGGAATTGTGTAGAACCCAGCATTTTTTACAGTGTAAACACACTATTAGCATCCGGATATCATGAGACAACTGCAAAAGTTTTTGAATCGTATTTTTATTCGTTAAGCAAGGAATGAAAAATAAGTTGGCTGAACAGATCTCTTCAGTAGTGCTGGTCCATTGAGAAGCCTGTCCGCTGAGTCAGCAAAACAGTCCTGCCTCTGTATCTCCAGTAATTGGATCCCACAGTCTGTCGGTAAGAGCGGCTGAACTTCATGGCCCTGTTAACTGGATGTGTTTAGACCTCTGAGGCCTGAAGGCTCGGGGTGGCTAGCTTTAAGTCCGCGGGGAAAGCCCCTGTATCCCTCTTCAAAGAGCCGTTTATTTGTTCTTAGCCGGCCACACATATTTGTGGAGGCTTTCACTTTTTTCCCCTTGTTCTCTGCATTTAACAAACAGAATATTCTGATCTGCTGTTAACCAAATAAGCACAGACACCGTGGAGCAGCAGGCTTCTACCATACATTACCAACATACAGCGTTCTGCCCTGAAGCTAATTCATTATTTACAGATTATCTCTCTTGCTATGACTCACCGTGGCACATTATGTCTAGCAGAGGCGCCATGGTTTGACAGAGCTCCTTTCCAGACGGTCAGCAGTTATTGACCCGCGTCTCTGAGGTTTTTGATCATGCATTTGCAGGATCTCGCATGAGCAAGTACTTGATAGGATGTATCTGATTGGAGGAAAACTGATTGCGTGTCACTTCGCTTGCATACCTGTTCAAATGAGCGTGAACGTAAACACCCTGTTAAGATCAGTTCCTCAGAATCATTTGTTATCTTTGTTAATCAAGCCAAAATACCTGATGCCAAAGATGTTTGAAAAATGCTTTAAAAAAACCTAGAGAGTTATGCTGCCATGCATGTGGAAATAGAAACGTCTTTTATAAACATTTCAGGCAAAACATTTTTGTAGGAGCTGAATAAATGGTTTTACAATAATTTAAGTGGCAGAGCTGATATTGAATCAAGTAAAAAAAAACACTGTACATACATTAATGGGCAATTATGATGAAAATGAACGTTTGTAAGCTGTTTGTACAGGACTACCTGTTGGAATAGTGTGTTCACTAAATTGGAGTGATATAAACACTACAAATCTCTTTTTTTTCCTGACATTAAAATATGACCCAAATCCCAGTGATTATGAGGCCCAATGCAAGTTTTTTTTTTTTTGCAATTAAACTGTGATTAAAATATTTGTTAAATTTTTTTGTGATTTTTTTTAATAAGATTTCTAAGTTTAAAAAATTTTTCAAACAGAGCATGTTTGTAAAAAAGATAGTAATATTGCAATGTAATTCTTAACCGCTATAATTACCCCGACCTGGTGTTAGTAAATGCTACTGGATGTGTTTGTATGTACTGCAAACAGCATTTGTGTTAGACTTATCATTTTAGAAAGGCTTGAATAAACGTCATCCCAATATATCAAATATACTTACTTTGTGTTTTTGACTATTAAGCTGTATTTCAGCTTCATCCAAGTCTGTATCTGTCACTATGCTGTTTATCTGACGTAACGCATAATGAGAAGCAGATGAGCATATGGAAATGGTGGGCGGGGCGAAACGGCTTATTTGCAATTAAAGCCACAAAATGCTACAAAAACAGCTGCAATGTACTCCGACCCCAAAATTGGCATATTCAGGAGGCTATAATAAATAATCTGATGGATATTTTGAACTGAAACTTTACAGACACATTCTGGAGACACAAAAGACTTATGTTAGATCTTGTAAAAGGGATAAATAGGTCTCTTTTAATATATAAATGCTTCGATGAAAGCAATATTTTATTATTTGTAGAGAGCAAGATTTTTTTATGGGTCTCAATATCAATTCATATTTATATAATTTGTATTCATTCATTCTTTTTTTTTTTTTTTGCTTAGTCCCTTTATTAATCTGGGGTCGCCACAGTGGAATGAACCACCAACTTATCCAGCAAATGTTTTACGCAGCGGATGCCCTTCCAGCCACAACCCATCTCTGGGAAACACCCATACACACTCATACACTACGTCAATTTAGCCTACTTAATTCACCTGAACCACATGTCTTTGTACTGTGGGGGAAACCGGAGCACCCGGAGGAAACCCACACGAATGCAGGGAGAACATGCAAATTCCACACAGAAACTCCCAGCTGAGGCTCGAACCAGTGACCTTCTTGCTGTGAGGCGACAGCACTACATACTGCGCCACTGCATCACCTAATTTGTATTCATTTGTTGTATTTTTTTTTAAAGAAAGTAATCCTTAAATTTAGTAAGGATGCATATTAAATTGATTTAATGTTACTGTATTAACAGTTTTATTAAAAAAAAAAAAAAAAAAATATATATATATATATATATATATATATATATATATATATATATATATATATATATATATATATATATATGTTGACCTTTTTAAATAATCCTGGTAAGGAATCAGTGTTTAAATAAATATATCATGTTGATTTCAACATTGATCATTATAAAACTTGTGCAAGATAATAGTGCATTAACATTATTTCTGAAGGGTCAAATAAAGTAATGACTGCCAAAAAATAAAAGGAATGAAATACATTTTTTTAAAAAGACACACAAATACACACTCTTTCACACACATACACTACGGACAATTTAGCTCCCCCAATTCACCCATACCACATGTTTCTGTACTTGTGGGGGAAAACGGAGCTCAATAATTGTTATAATAGTTAATAAAATGTCATTATATTCCACATTTATCTCTACCAGGGCTTTCTTTCACAGAGCTTAACATATATAATGATTGTCTTCTCAAGTAAAAAACTAAATAAATGTGGCCTGAAAATTTTACCAAACCTCTGACTGGGTACTTAAAATGGTTTTGAATCTCAGCCTACAGTAAATTTATCCAACATTTCTAAGTCAAACATTCTCAGATGTGCTCTGTCTTTATTCTACCAGGCAACAGAGCAGATTTTTCAGAATCGGCCCAGAGACGGATCATGGAGGTGGTGAACACTGCCCGCATCCGACAAAGCATGCTAAAAACGGAATGCTCCGACCATCCAGACTCAAACGGGACATCGCCAAACGACACCTGGATCTTTCCCTTGGTGCAAATGAAACCTCTAGGCATCCATCTAGATGAACAAGTGACCAAACGACTGCTTACAGAGGCTGGTGGAGATGCTGTGGTTTACCTGACGTCGGGCTACTTCAACCTGACACGCACATACATGCAGCTGGTTTTAGGCGCAGAGGCAGACTATCGTATTCTTATGGCCTCTCCTGAGGTTAATGGGTTTTTTGGAGCCAAAGGAGTAGCTGGGGCAATTCCAGAGGCCTACGTTCACCTCGCCCGGCAGTTCTACAATAAGGTGTGATTTTTCTTTACATTTTGCCGTAGGGCTGGGCAGTGTGATGTGTGTATACTTGTGTTTGAAAGAGATGAATGCTTTAGTGTAAATGGCTTTATTTTTTAAATAAAAGGAGCAATTTAGTTTTGTCAAGTCATGCCGCCCACGTCTATTGTGGACAGGATGTAACTATAGGTTATATTTATTATTACGGTAATTACAGTTGTCAGGCAACATTACAGAGGCATGCATTAATGTACGGTTGAAGTCAGAATTATTATCCCTCCTGAATTTTTACCCTCCTGTATATTTTTTTCCCAATTTCTGTTTAACAAAAAGAAGACTTTTTCAATGCATTTCTAAACATAATAGTTCTAATAACTCATTTCTAATAGCGGATTTCTTTTATCTTTGCCAGGATGACAGTACATAGTATTTATTCATTCATTCATTCATTTATTTCCCTTATTTATCAGGGGTCGTCACAGCAGAATGAAATGCCTACCGGCCCAGCTGGAACTCGAACCAGCGCCCTTCTTGCTGTGAGGCGACAGTGCTAACCACTGAGCCACCATGCTGCCCAGTACATAATATTTTATTAGATATTTTTCAAGATACTAGTATTCAACTTAAAGTGACATTTTAAAGGATGAACTAGGTTAATTAGGTTAAATAGGCAAGTTAGGGTAATTCGGCAAGTCATTGTATAACAATGGTTTGTTCCATAGAGCACAGGTGTCAAACTCAGTTCCAAAAAGGCCGCAGCTCTGCACAGTTTAGTTCCAACCCTAATTAAACACACCTGATCAAAATAATTGAGTCCTTCAGGCTTGTTTGAAACCTACAGGTAAGTGTGTTGGAACTAAACTGTGCAGGGCTTCGGCCCTCCAGGAATTGAGTTTGACACCCCTGCCATAGAGAATCGGAAAAAAAATTGCTTAAGAGGGCTAATAATATTGACCATAAAATGCTTTTAAAAAATTAATAACTGCTTTCATTCTAGCCAAAATAAAACAAATAAGGGGTTTCTCCAGAAGAAAAAATATTATCGAAAATACTGTGGAAGATTCCTTTGCTGTTAAATATCCCTTGAGAAATAGTTGAAAAAGAATAAATATTTCACAGGGGAGATACTAATTTGTACTTTAACTATACAATTCAAGTGACTTATGGATATTAGGTTTATTGGATATTGATTTATTGTATATTTATAATACTTTGTTTTACACACAAAACAAGAATGCAAAATAGAAAATCTAACAAAAAATATACCGCTAAAATGTTTTTTAATTAGCAGTTTTTGTCATCATTCCAAACATCTCATGAATTTTTAATTAACATCATAATTTGCATCCAGAACATACATTTAAATCTGAATTTACCAAAATTTATAGCTGACAAATTGTAATGTATGCTACAGTGCATTCAGAAAGTATTTATAGCGCTTCACTTTTTTCATTTTTTTAAGTTATAGCCTTATTCCAAAATGGATTAAATTAATTTATTTCCTCAAAATTCTACACACAATACCCCATAATGACAATGTGAAAAAAGAGGTTTTTTTTTAAATGTTGCAAATTTATAAAAGTCACATGTATTCACTGCCTTTGCTTAATACTTTGATGCACCTTTGGCAGCAATTACAGCCTTATCTTCCTCATCGCATTCATCTTTCCCTCTATCCTGACTAGTCTTCCAGTTCATGCTGCCTTCCTTACAGCATGATGCTGCCACCACCATGCTTCACTGTATAGATGGTATAAGCTTAGTGATGAGCAGGGCCTGGTTTTCTCTAAACTCTCATTCACTTGCATGACATGCACTGTCAACCCTGGGACCTTATATATACAGGTGTATGCCTTTTCAAATCATGCCCAATCAACTGAATTACCAAAGGTGAAGCCATTCTCAAGAATTATCAGTGAAAACAGAATGTACCTGAGCTTCACGGCAAAGGCTCTAAATACTTATGTACATGTGATTTTTTAGGTTTTTTTATTTTTAACCAATTTGCAACAATTAAAAAAATATTTTTTTTTCACATAGTCATTATGGGGTGTTGTGTGTAAAACTTTTAGGAAATAAATTAATTGAATCCATTTTGGAATAGGGCTGTAACAACAAATTGTGAAAAAAGTGAAGTGCTATCAATACTTTCCGGATACACTGTACTGTTTAAGTTACATTACGGTTTATTGTTTGTGATTGTGATAAATTTTCAAAGCTGCATTTATTTAAATGTTGTTTAAAGAGGAATACAGGGAGATGTTAATATAATTTAAAATAGTAATGTATTACTTTGGTGTTATTGATAGCTGCATTCATTTGTTTTAAAATATGTGTAAAAAGTGAGATGTACATTAACATAATGTATGTATTTTTATTTATTTATGTAATAGCAAAGCTGAGTTCTGATGAATAATGATAAATTGAAAACCTTTTGGGATTGTGTGATTTATTTGAGAGATCAAAATAGCATTATTATATTAAAGGAAAGAAAATCATAATCATATATCATAATTTTGTTGTTTTTACACTCTTTACTCTTTTACACTCAGCATTCTGTCCTTTTCAGGTGTGTCAGCTTGGCCAACAGAGTCGTGTCCACTTGCATGAATACCATCGCCCTGATTGGACGTTTCATGCAAAAGGTAGGTGTTTATATTTTCTTTTCAGCACTGTTTTCTTTTTTAGATCAGCCCAGTTCCCAAAACCTGGGTGTAACAGGAAAGCTCATAATTGAATGCGCAGAGCAGGTTTCCCAGCACCTCTGATTGAATAGCCTCCGAGTTCTTCCTGGACACAGAGGCTGCCAGACACATGTGATGTTTTCACTCTAAACCAGAGGTGTGCTTTGGCCGGGGTTTTTGGCTGTTGTCGGACATATTTCAGCTTCACTGTTTCAGCATGTTATTTAGCAGAAATCAAATGCAGCACTGAGCCAAGAGCAGCTGAATCGACACAATGTTGTTTCTCATCCTGCTGCTGGTGTTTGCAAGAGCGAGTTTGGCTTTCATTTAGAGTGGAGATCTAAATTAGAGAACAGTTTATGACCACTTAACTTCATTCAGAAGTAATAATGTATAATCTTCATTATTTTAAAGTTGGCTACAACTTTACATTTATCCATTTGGCAAATGTTTTTGTCTAAAGCGACTTACAATTGAGGAGACATTCAGCAAATCAACAAGAAGAGGCACTACACACAGAAAGTGCTAATTATAAAAAGAGAGAGATTAAAATGCTAGAGTAAGGGAGTGTTTTTCTTTTGTTAAGTTTTTTTGGGAGGCTGAGTGAAGAGTGTTTTAATTTTGTGCAACCTTTAACACCTCACACCCCAGGAAGATCTGAGGAGATGATCTTGAGAACCACCAAGATAATCGTATTTTGGACATACCTAGGATTGTTGGAAGGTGAGAAATTGTTGAAAATCAGCCTGATTATCTTGTGGTGCCCATAGACTGCATGTTAAACAGGGTTTGTCAAGCAATTAAGGTAGTTATCGCCAGATTTTTACCAGTACTGCAAGAAATCTGAAAGTGTCTCTAAATTTGTTAAGCGTTCTTTCAAATATTTTTTGTACTGTACTGCAGAATATTTGTAACTCATCAAAATATGAAAGAATCTGCTCTTTTTACTTTTCTCTAATTTCGATCTCCACTGTACATTTTTTTGTTGGCTAACATGGCATTAACTGAATGTCCTTATGGACTTTAAAGGAGCAGTATATAAGTTTGACATCCAGTGGTAGAACTTGATATTGCATTGCTGGTTCAAAACGCATGCAAGCGCAGGTTGCCAGATTGACAATACCAACAGATGTGTGCCTACCTGTCGAGCCTAAAGGCTGATATAAACCGTGTTCTAAATAAAAGCAACTGCACACAAGATAGAATATTTTGCATATTAAAATAAGTTTTTGTTCTAACCAACACCTGAAATATATATTTTAGGAACAGCTTCTAGTTCTTGCAGCTGAACATCAATAAACTGACATGTTTCCCTCAGGTACACCTCATGTGCTTTACTCTGTAAAGCAGCATCACTTTTAGAGCTGTGACTCTAAAGTGCAAGACAACAAATTTCAATCATTCAGCATGTACATTTAATAATGTTAAAACAGTTTAATACAAATTAAGTAGGCTATAAACCTTACCATTTTGTTGGAGTGCAGTAAGTGCACCATTCTGTGCTTTCTGAATGGCTGTATTTAACCCTTTAAGACTCAAGTACAGAAAAAAATGAGCAATTTTTTTGACCTATCAGATATTGTTTTATTAGGCCTCAGGATTTTTTTTTTTTACATTTTGGTAAGTTTTAGGAAAATGTTGTAATATTGCAGCGTTAAGCTGGTTGTGAGCAGAACCCCCCCCCCCCCCCCCCCCCCTCTCTCTCTCTCTCTCTCCCACTTCGCTTCCTGCCTAAAATACTGTCCTACCCACTTAATAAATGCAAAAATGCCAAAAATCTTAATCTTAAAATAATAATAATAATAATAATGTTAAAGCTGTTTAATATGTATTAATTAGGTTATAAACCTCACCATTTCATTGGAGAGGACTAAGTGCATTATTCTGTGCTTCTAAATGGCTTTATTTAACCCTGTAATACCCAAATACAGAAAGAAATTAGCAAAAAACAAATTGACCCCTCAGATATTGTTTTACGAGGCCTCTGATGTAGGAATTAAACATTTATTTATTTATTTATTTTTACCTTTTTTTACATTTTGGTAATGTGGGGAAACGTAATATTGCAACATTGAACCTAGTTGTGAGCAGAATTTCTGTATCTGTACTCACTGTCTGAACAGGTATACAGTGCATATATGCATTCGTTTGCAGAGTTATTCACTTACTTAGCCCCTTAGCAGTATATGTCACACAACTAGGCAACAATTCAATATGTCATTCAACAATGCAGCAGTCTACCACTCTGACCCAACATTGTAGAATTACAACACAGACCTAATAAGCTCTAAATCAAATTTTATTAATGTTTTTCTAAAATACCTAAACATGTATGTCTTCTAGACATTGTAATAAACACAAAAAAATATTTAAAGAATTGCTGGTAGAGTAAGCTCACGGCAGGATGACCAGACCTATAAACACTTTTTCTATCCAATTTCATTGTGAGGGCACACAATAGGACCCGTGCCTTTTTTTTTTTTTTTTTTCGAATTGTTAAAAGTGATTTTGTAATTCAGCAACAGTGGACTTTATAGGGTTAAATTTCAGTTTTTTTTTTTTCATCTGGTGCAAACAGAAAATTGCTTATCACCGAGCATCTTATCATGTAGCGTGTTGTTAGGACACTGGATTACAATGTAACCTGCTTACCATATGTTTACGTTCGTAATATTTGTATCATTTTTTAATTAATACCCACCTCATGTGGAACTCTGAATCTGCATCTCATTTCAGAGTCTGCTACTCTCCACCGGATGTCTCATTTTGGTCATGGACAGATACTTTGAGAGCCTTCCTGACTGAATGAATTAAATTCTAAGTTTCTGAAGAATGTTGGAAGTCAATGACTGTTTTCTCCCCCAGCATTCTTCACTGTCTTCCTTTTGTGTTCAAAAGTAAAAATAAATCAAGCCAGTTTGCAACAATTTGACATGATTAAATCTAAATAATGACAGAATTTTCATGTTTTGGGTGAGCTATCTCTTTAAGAAAAAGCCCTTGACCTGAAGGGGACGGAATAAAGTGATGTCTAGAGACAAATAGATGCTTACAAACCTGAGCAGCATCAGTGGAATTCAATTTCATGCTCCTGTTGAGAAGTCTGGCTTATTAGATAAAGCCTTGTCGCGCCGTCATTTCTTGTAAACAGTGGAGCTGAAGTGGGAACAGACAGGGTGCAGAGGTCCCGCTGCTGGCCTACACAGACAATCAATGAGCATTAGCCCACATTCAGACACTGACCTTCAACCTGCAAGAGACCCGCACGCTTCAGGAAACAGACAGATAGCTGGACTCCGTTTCACAAGTGTTTGACATATCAGTCTGTCACCAAAAGACATGTTTTTCTTTTTCATTGGCAGTCATTCAAAGTTTGCAGCAGGTTGTTTACTTTTCTCTTAGAGACATTAAATGTAAAAATGAAATAGACAATCAGGCACATTCATCACATAATATTTATATTATGATTCGTGCTGGGCAAAAATTTTATCGCATCCAAAATAAAAGTTTGTTTTGACATAATTAAAGTGTGTGTACTACATATTTATATAGAGTAGTATATATGGATTATGTATATATAAATACATAGGCATGCATATATATAAAAATATGTATGTGATACAAATTATATATAAATTAAAATATCTATTTAATAAATGATTTTTTAAATAGTTTAGTTTCTATATATGTGTGTATCAACTAAACATAATAAATATATAATACAAACACATTAATTATGTAAAAACATACTTTTATTTTGGATGTGATTAATTATGATATATAATTTACTTTCTATTATATTGTATTATATTCTATACAACAGTTCTGTCTGGTTCTCGAATGTGATTGGCTGATAGTCATGCGATTATTCTGTCAGTAACAGCACTCGTCCAGCCTCTTAACCCTTCACCCTTGTGTATTACTCAGCCCACATAGTGACAAGCAGAGGACACTCTACAGCAGTGGTGGGCAAACTTTTTAGACCTGAGGGCCACATCAAGTTTTTCAAACCAAGTGAAGGGCCACATGTCAAATTCTTCAAAAAAATTACTTTTATTTATAGTGGCAGTATGCATAGAACATGTAATATCGGACAAAAACATGTCACATTAACACAAAACAGATTTTTTTTTAATGTATATATTATTAAGTCAAATTTACAAGTCAAGTTAATTTGCACTGCTATTTTTTTACTTATCAATCATCATAAAACAATAAAATAATCCCTTATAAGATATAATAATAATAATGAAATAATTTTTACAATGGAGAATAGAAAAGATATTGTCTGATAGAAAAGATCTCATATTAAACACATTAAAAATAATTCATGAAGTTTATTATTCAGTCAAATTTACAATAATCTAATTTGCACTGCTTATACGAATATACGGATCAATCATCATACAACTTGATAAAACCACAAATCTTTGATAAAAGAACTTTTTAAAGTGAATGTATGCATGGAAAATATTCTATAACAAAAATCAACACATTTAAACAGCAATTATTATATAATTGGAGTCAAATTCACAACAATCTCATTTGAGCTTGTATTAATATGCTCATATCAATCATTATAAAACTATAAAATAAAACGGAAGAAGAATCTTGGTCTTTGTTATTCCAAGTCATGTTATTATAAGTGTGTTAATGTGAACAATAAGCCTGGTGCCCTCGCAAAACAAAACCCGTGCGGCCGTAGTAAACTATTCAAAAGAGGCACCTCTTATAACTCATAAAGCACGTTCGGTCATTAACTGTCGAGTGCATTTTAATATCCGAGAGCGTGTTCTAATTCTACTGGTTGCACTAGCTGAACCACATGCAATACTGCCATCACATGGCGTTCACTTGTAATTGCATCATTAATTTACTAATTCTAAACCAAACCTTCCCAGAAGCAGCATTTTAAAAACTCTCTCGGGTCATTATGTTGGGCAACATAATGTAAATTTGAGGCTTTTCTAGTTGAGAGTGTAGTTGTTTAGATCGCAACTATGCAGTTTATTTATAAGGACAGTGCCTATTCTAAATATTTATGGTTTCTGAGAGAGCACGTCAGCGGCCATAAGCCTGTCTTTGAGCAATGACGATTGACGATGTTCATCAAAAAGATGGACGACAGAGACAGCATAATAAGCACTAAGAGAACAGCATCATTTCAAAGTACAGCTGATCAAATCATTATTACACAGGTAAAAAAATTTCTAAATTGGTCTGTCTCTATTTTTGGATGTTGTAGTGCTGTGTTTATACCATAGTAATATTGTGATCTACCGATTGCAACAGAGAAATACTTGGAAATCCCTGAAGACTAAGATGCCATTTCAGCCTTATAATCTTAAAATGTGAGGAAAATGACCTGTTTTGTCATCACTTTAGACATTACGCTAGAGAATCATTCAAATACTAATAATACTAATAATATTCAAATAGCAGTGGGATGTGGCTGTATATTGTCACTGGTGGGACACTAAGGTACTCGGCCAACGCACGCCTCCCACCAGTGGCGATATACAGCCACATCGTACTGCTACTCGTGTGATATTGCTCGTATTATATTATATTATATTATATTATATTATATTATATTATATTATATTATATTATATTATACTGGACATGACAGGACCACTATTATGTTGAACAAAAAAGAGACATAGTATAACTTATTTGTGATAAGTATTTAAATGGAATAATCATATGGGCCTTTGTAATCATGTTTTTAAGTAGAAATGGAAAGAGAGCACTGCTATAAAGTACACAAAGACAGTCAAAGGTCTTCCTTCTTGCATTTTATTCTATTCTGGTTTGTTGGGTTCCAGTGTGAATGTAAAAATTTAACAAAAAAAGTTAAAAAAAAAACAAACCTTTTAGCTTTTAAAACACTATTTTTGCATCATTAAAGAAAATCATATGGAGCTTTTTGAAATTGAAAATGGGAAATATTTAAAAAGTGCATTAAATTTTTAATCACATGTAATCATTTATTAAATAATTGGTACCTCAAACTTCATGATTAGAATATAGGTCAGGGGTTCCCAAACTTTTTAGCTAGTGACGGCCAAAATAACAATTTCAGTGACTCATGACCCCCACTATCCTCGGAGATGGTTATAAACATACAAACGTTGTACACAACGCTGCACACGCACCAGTAGGAACTAAATAAACAAGCTTGTTGACAACACAAAAACAGTGCAACAGTCTAACAACTATATCATTTTTATAGTCATTATTCAGTTGTTTAATTTAATATTAACCTCACTTAATGAGCATAGTGGGTACAATGTTTAACATTTCTGTTAAATATGTGAATACAATAGCAAATCAGTGTTGTTTAAGAACGTGCTCAACAGCGATTAAATGTTTGCGGGAAATTTCAGTATCGATTGGTACAATTTTTGGAAATTCCTAAGCGACCTCCCCTCGTTGTCTCACAACCAACCATGTGGTATTATAAAAAATGAGTGTATTAGCAGTGGAAATGCATATAGATCATTAAATAAAACCATTATGTTTCCTAATTTTTCCTTTTTTTTTTTTTGAAAATGTAATGTCACTTTTGAAACAAAAAGCTCAAAAATAGAAATACTTACATGTTGTGTTTTGTTTTTATTATTATACATTTTTGTATTGTCTTGTAATTGAATTACATTTATATACGCCGTTTATAAAAGCTAATTGCATTAGTGTCCACAAGGAAGTCCTGAGGAATTCATTTTCGAGTATTCCCGGCAGTCGTGTTACCTGATACTCCACTTTTCATCAACAAGAACACAACCTCAGGCAAGGGTGGTTATTGTTCGCAGGTGTTTGAAGTGGCAAGCAATGCCTGCCGCCTATTAATAGAACACATGCTTGGATCATGTACGTACTTTGACTGACAGTTTTTTTTTTTTTTTTTTTTTTGATAACTTTTGCATTGTTGACAAAGGAAATGAAATATGTTCTACAGACAGTTACGCTCATGTGACAAGGAAACACACGCACACACTGTTAAAAAAAGACGTTTGCAATTGTGACCTGCTTTAAAGCATGTGCCAAATGCATCATTGTAAAATGTGTGTCATACTTGTCTAGTATTATAAAACATGACATAAAGCACATTATCATCATTTCTGGCCAGTTTATTCACATTTGGGTCATTATTTTACAGGTCTGTGGTATTATGTAGGAGGAAGAGACTGCCCCTGCCTCACCCTGATTGGCTCCCCAAATTTCGGCTATCGCTCTGTGCACAGGGATCTGGAGGCTCAGATCGCTATAGTAACAGAGAACGAGGAACTCCAAACGCAACTTCAACAGGTTGGATTTCCTCTTAAACTGTGTTTCTTGAAGTTTTGGCTCTTGTAACCTTTAAATCCCGAGATGTCATGTGACAGTTTAAATAGGTCATGGCATTTTTAGCATTCTTGTATCGTGATTATATAAACAGCGGAGAAAATAAGTCTTGAACACGTCACCGTTTTTCTCAGAAAACATATTTCTAAAGGCCATGAAAATTTCCCCAGATGTTGGGAACAGCCAAATAAATCCATATATACAAAGAAATCAAATCTAAATAGTTTACAAATGAAGTTATGCATAATAAAATGAAATGACGCAGGGAAAAAGTATTGAACACATGAAAAAAGGGAGGTGTAGAAAGGCAGTAAAAGCCCAGACAACAGCTAAAATCTCTTGGCAGTTCTTCAGCAACCCTCTGCCTCAATATTAGCTGCTTCAGTCCAACATCTACATTAGCAAGATGATGAAGATGAAGCCAAATTGGACATTTCATAAAGACAAAAACACAGCCAAAAGGAAAATCAAGCTGTAGATTGGCCCAACCAATCACCTGACTCGAATCCAAAATAGACCTTTTTCTTAGAATGCAAAATTACCCATTATGCTTTGCGTGGATGCGCAAGGAGAATGCTAAGTGTGTGTGTGTGTGTGTGTGTGTGTGTGTGTGTGTGTGTGTGTGTGTGTGTGTGCGTGCGTGTGCGTGCGTGCGTGCGTGCGTGCGTGTATGTGGGAAAACAGACACACTTTTTCTGATGTCAAACACGTAAACTAGGAGAACGTTTTTCTCTCGCGCTTGAACCATGTCTGACAGATTATAACAGCTTTACCACATACATTTCAAACATTCTACCGCTGGTTGCTATGGCGCCCTCTATGCAGCTGCCAAGAAAAAGGTCTACAAAATACAGATTAAAGCTCAGATTTGATAGATTTGTACTTTTTTTTTAAAAAAACTCACACCTGAGCAATAATTGTGACTTCATTGTCCATATGAGAGGTGTCTTTAAGCTGCCATCACCAAAAAAGTCCTTTTATAAGCCATTTTGAGAAATGTAAACAATAACAGTTGTCCTAACGAATTTCCTGTTTTACATTTTTATTTTCCATAGCTTCAGAGAATAAAAGAAAATACACTTATTGATAAGCTTATTTAATGGCAAGTTATTATTGAATTGCTTCTTGTTACACTTAGGAAATAGTTTAACAACAAGCAGGAAATGCTCATGGGCCAATCATCACATCGAAATGGTCTATAGAAAGTATTAATTACTTTTCAGTAGTTCAGTACTTTGTCCTTGAGTCATTTTATTGTAATTACACATAACTCATTTTTCAGATTTATTTTTTTTGTTTGTATTGTTTGGGTTTTTACCAAAATCTGATTGAATTCTATGTCAACAGCTCCTTTAGAAATATTAATCCCAGGAAAAAACATGACTTGTTCAATGCTTATTTTCGCCGCTGTATTCATTAGTATTATGTTCTTTAAATTCAATTCATATATTTAATAAGTTTTATAAAGTGGTGTATTAGTGCTCAAATTATAAACACTTTTCAAAATTGTTCAATTTGAATAACGAGACTTTCTGAAGGTTGCAGAAGTGAATGTGAAAATTCTGTTATCATTTACTCGTCGTTCATTTGTCACAAACCTGTTTGTGTGTCTTTCTTTTGGGGAACACAAATTAAGATATTTCGAAAAATGGTGCATAGTGCAAATGTATTGCATAGTATTTGTTTTTCCGGAGATTAATGTTTATGGTTACCGGTTTTCAACATTCTTCAAAATAACTTCTTTTGCTTTCCTCAGAAAAAAAATCAACTTAAAAAAAATTTGAAGCTATTGGGGGTAAGTATGAGTAAATGATGACAAAATATTCATTTTTAGAGTAAACTATCCCTTTAATAATTCACGTTGTGTACACTAATAAACAACAATCACAATATTAATAATATCACACACTTGTACCCTTGGTACTACTACTGTACTTTAGTATGATGTTTTTTCTGGTTTATAGCTGCACTGTAAACATCATCAAATGATTTGTTTTATTGCAGCCTAAACAAGGTATCATTAAACCATGAAGTCAAGTTTTTATCACTCTTACACTTTGATGAGCATTGCAATATGAGATTTTAGTATTTTCGGCATAAAGTTATTGTTTGTACAGCTTTTCACTCATACAGGATGGCAACAGATTCTCTTATCTTTCATGCCTTAAACTAAATTACATAAAAGATAGGACATAATCACTTGCCTTTACTGATAGATCTGGGAAGAGAGGCTATAATAAAGATTAATTAATTGTAAGCGTTATCAGTTTTTATAGTTTGTGAAGTGCAGGATTCCTGTAATCTTCACTTATCAGTTGCTAAAGATCGTTTTTACGAGAAAAACCCTGTGATTATGTAACGCTTGAGATTTGACACAGATAAAAGAAAAGTTGTGTTCTCTGTCTTGTTTAGGAGCAGGAGGTGTTATATCAGAGCTCAACGCAAGTGTCAAACTCCACTTTTAACCAGCCGGACCGCCATGTAAAGCTCTGGGTCAAACTGGTTACTCCACTCATCAAGAACTTCTTCTGAGTTCAACAGGCCTGATGTGATGGATATCACTGTCTGTGACAGGTCAGTTACTGATGTACTACTGAAACACATTTAACACTAGAACAAACATAACAGGGCTGTTTTCCAAAATACTTAACAGATTTTTTGCAAAATATCCAGCCAAAAAGTGTCCCATTGACTTTTACTGAAATTGCATTATTTAAAAGCACCAGTTTTTAATTTGTTTAAAAAATTGTTTAGAGAGGTTGGTGCCAATACGCTAGTGGGCAGTGCAATAACATATAGAGCAATGGTTCTGCAGGCCTCCTAAATTCGTAAAAAATTACTCGTGCTAGTAATTCGAGCTGGCTTGGGATATGTGCCAAAGGTTCCTACCACACCGTTTTAAGGCCAGGTATTGAGCCTGCAAGCGCTGCCCCCGGAGGAGGCAGACCCAGCCCTTTTCTTACTTTTTCCAGTTCGCATTTTGCGTATTTATCTGGACCGCACTCAGAGCTTTAGATTATCTGAGCAGCTCTTCGTCTGCTATGGCGGTCGGCAGCAGGGAAGTGCCGTATTGAAACAGAGGTTGGCCCATTGCATAGTGGATGCCATCTCCCTCGCTTACCAGAGCCAGGGCGAGCCGTGTCCCCCGAGAGTGTGTGCGCACTCCACTTGGAGCATCGCATCCTCTTGGTCGCGTGGACCGGGAGCCTCTCTAACAGACATCTGTTGAGCTGCAGGCTGGGAGACACCTAATACATTTGCAAATCTGCGAGTGGAGCCGGTTTCCTCAAGGGTATTAGGTAACCCTTGATGATTGAGGAAACAACTCAGTTAAGGTGTTGAAACACGCTTGCTGCGCCATTCTCCCTAACACGTAGAAATGAGAAATGTGTGCTTTTTCATCTGTCAGTAAAGTTTCCCGTTAGGTGAGCCCTGCAGATTCCTTCAAGGCCCCCAGCACTGACTCAGCAGAGGAGTCACTTGCTGGCCCATTTCATTGTAGCTCTGCCCGCTGGTCAGCCCGCGTTTTGGGCATAGGTGCCCGCTATGCGTGATACCCACTAGGCGATCCCATATGCTTATTCAGCCACAGTGCAGTCCCCTCTTACGGGCGGACCCGTGTCTTCCCTCTTCGCTAACCATCTTATTATATGCGTACTCCCCCTTCTCAGGGCTAGTCCATATATTTTGCCATCATATCTCCCCATTGGGTAGCAGGTGGCCTCCGCAGCTTCCTCCCTATCGGGACTGCATGCTTTCCCAACGTACTGTCGTAGTTTCCTAGAATTTTCTAGACGCTTGCGACTTCCCAAAAAATATATCTAAATCAGTAAAACTTCTTTGAAGTGGGATAAGTAAGGGCCAGGGATCACGTTGGAAGACCGCGCCTCTCTTTGATGCAGGAGCACTCACGCTATGCCTGACTATCCTCTCATCGGAGGTGAAGGTAAGGTGCAGTCATTATGGCGTTTTCCAGACATTTCCCCATTCGTGGATTAATAAATAAATCCACTGATAGCATTGAAGTTCCCCATCCGAAGGGGAACACTCTGGTTACTAAAGTAGCCCTCGTTTCCCGAAGAGGGGAACAGAAATGCTATATAGCATCGCCATAATGATTGTTCCTCAGCTGCAAGTGTCAGTCTCTTCAGCTTAAAAGGATGGCGTTTCCTTGCTTTCCCTGTGCTTATATGCAGAGCTAATTGGCAATAAGGCACACGTGCGCAAGCTTACGCTGCCAACTCATTTATTGGATGTCTCTCTATCTGACCCATTCATTTTAGATTTTTGAGTCTCTTCTGATGTTCTGATGAGTTGATTCAGTTGTGTTTGATTAGGAAGAGGTTGAAAATGTGTAGTGTTGGTGTGCCTTCAGGAACAGGGTTGGGAAACAGTGCTCTAGACATTACTTTGTGAAGAGAGTTGCATATTTATAATACGTTCTTTTTTAACCAAAACACATCCATAGTACATGATCATGTACATGTTTAAGTTTTACACATTGGCAGTTTTAGCTATACAACAACTGCTGGAGGTTGTTTAAACCAGCACTGTAGTTTATCAGACCGATTACAGTGTTGTGGGAGATTCAGACATGAGTAATTCTTGCTGGAAAATCCATCTTAAGCTAGTAGCTGTATTTTGGAATATGGAAGCTGGTTATTATGGAGGCTGATTATTATCTGATCCAAACCGGTTATTAGCTGAACCAGGCTGGTTATTAGTTGGTTGCCCGACAACAACGTTCCAAAGCCACCTTGACCACCTTAAAGTCAACATGAACCCTATTTGCCATCATAATAGGGGTTCCTGGTCTAATCGGGGATGATTTAATATGTATGTTTTTCCAAAGAAAACCTTTTCATCTTAATCTTTCGTCAAATGTATTGGGTTCCGCTATTCTTTTTCAACTCGCATCATTAAAGCAAGCTATCTTTAGCAGTTTCAGTGGTAACACTCAGAATACAGTCCATTGAAGTCAAGTTAAAGTGTAGTCTATTTATTTTAAATATCAATGACCCAAGTCAATGCTTTGAATAGTTTATGTTCTAATGTTGTGACATTTAGATAGATGCACGCTGCAATACTGCAGACCTGTTGCTTCTTGTTTCAGTTAAGTTTTTGGTTATTGATGAACTAAACAACATGAATTTAGACGGAATGCGCTATGGAAAATATAGTTAGAATAGCAGCATCCAGTCATAAAAATATTCCATTCATTCATTCATTCATTCATTTTTCTTCAGCTTAGTCCCTTTATTTATCTGGGGTCGCCACAGTGGAATGAACCGCCAACTTATCCAGCATACGTTTTATGCACTGGATGCCCTTCCAGAAACAACCCAGTACTGTGAAACACCCATACACTCTCATATTCATCCTCATACACTATGGCCATTTAGCTTATTCAATTCACCTGTACCACATGTGTTTGTACTGTGGGGGAAACCTGAGCACCCTGAGGAAACCCACGTGAACATGGGGAGAACATGCAAACTCCACACAGAAATGCCAACAGACCCAGCCGGGGCTCAAACCAGTGACCTCCTTGATGTAGGATGACAGTGAGCCATTGTGCCGCCTATATTACATTTATATTTAGTCATTTAGCAAGCACTTTGTCCAAAGTGAATTAGAATTCAGATTTGATTAATCACTCAGCTTTTCAATAAAATTTTATTATATGATATTATTATTAGAGAGGGCGACACAGTGGCGCAGTAGGTAAGTTTTGAATTTCAATTATTTTTCGATTAATCGCCCAGCCCTAATTAAAAATATTATGTCTAGAAATGTGTTAAAAAAAACATATCTCCCTTAAACAGAAATTGGAAAAAAATATATAAAATTGTATAATTAAAATTAATTAATTAATTTTAAATAAATTTATTTTAAAATTTTATAAAATATAAAATTTTATATGTGAAATGTATTTATAAGATGAAAAAGAATTAAAATAAAATTTTTAATACAATTTATAATAAAATTATTTTGACCTCATCTATATATGACATATAATAATGTATAACATACCTGTACACTAATATAAAACAAATAGTTTTCACCTTTATGCAGTGACTAGTAGCAGCTGGGATGAGTTGGTGGTATAAAGGGTTTTATGAGCTTCTCATTGTGTCGAAGCATAAATGAGCCATTGGCATGAAATGCTCTGAGGGTATTAGCCTAAAGCAAGCAAAAACTGCATTCAGGCATATTATTCCGCTTCCAAACGAATGACTTGGCTCTGTTGGGCTCAGTATAGTCAGAGTTTCCCCGAAGATGAATACACAAAACCTTGGCCTGCCAGACAGCGGCTTCTCAAGAATGTACATTGTCACTCCAGTGGTTCCTTCAACCCAAATCCCCGTCACAGAGTCCAGCGCGGAGCTCAAAGCACCAGACCACAGCATGAATCTGGCCATTCCTGTGCTGTCAGACCCAGGCAGATCTACAATCTTCATCTGCACTGTTGGTGACCTCCGTCAGCCTCCGTCACGCACATCTGGAGCCTCTAAATGCTTCTCTTGCCTCCGTTTCAATGCTAACGTGCTAAAGATCGGGATTTAAAGAGGTCATGTGATGCATTTGCGTTTTCTTTGCTGTGGTATAGCTGTTTGCGTGTTTATAAAATCTGCAGAGTTGCAAAAGCCAAAGTTGCCTACAAAAGATGTTTTCTGTCTAAAGCGCGGTTGCCAGGTTGTCACAGCAACATTAGTGCAATGGCCAAACTAAACCTGCCAAATAATATAAAAACTCAAAATATGCCACTCCCATATGTAAAGCTGTTCAGATCATGCACAGAAAACATCACTTTTAGAAATAATTATGACCTTATTCAGCTCTGTGGTTGTTTTAAGGACAAAGATGTGAAACTTAAATGGTCTTCCAAATGAGAGAATTACAGCATTCATTTTTTTGTATGTAGATATTAATATAAATCAAGTTCCCAGTGTTGGGTTGCAGCTGGAAAGGCATCAACTGCATGAAACAGATGCGATTCATTCCGTTGTGATGACCCCTGATTAATAAAGGCACTAAGCCAAAAAGAAAATGAATGAATGATATAAATCAAGATAAATTACTAAATTATTTTCTACTATAATTGCTTCATATTTAACAAGAAATATATCCGAGCTTGCAGTCACCCACAAAAAGATGTTTTCCATCTTAAACACGGTTGCCAGGTTTTGGCAGCAAAACTGTAGCTCAGTGGGAAATCGAAGCTTGCCCAATAATATAAAATATCAAAATATGCCATGCCCATATGTAAAATACACATTTCACATCACTGTGTGCATTATCTCATTCAGATCATGCTCTGAAAGGACCAATTAAAAAGATAATCAGTCATCCTAATGTGAATAAAGTTAGAGAGTGTTTTAAAAGCGCAAAACTAGCTATATTTAATTCTAACCCAGTTATTTTATTTTGTTACTAATAAAAAATCATCTGGAAATGATTTTTCCAATATAACTGCTTCATATTTAACAGGAAACATTTCCATATTATACATTTGTAGATAGGATATATGCAAGGTTGTAGCTTTCAGCTTGTTGCCAAAACATTTGTTCTCTTGTTATTTAATGGGCACCTATTTTACCCTTTTTTAAGATTTAAGATAAATCTTTTTTAGTCTCCAGAATGTGTCTGTATAGTTTCAGCTCAAAACACCCATCAATTATTTATTATACCTTTCAGTTTGTCATTTTCAGCTCTGAGCATCTTGTAGCTGTTTTTATTGCCTGTGCGTTTAATGCTAGTTCTCCATGCCCACTGTTCCCACGTGCCTGTCACGGTGCGTCTCAATCTCTGACTGTGTCAGATAAACAGCACAGTGACTGACATGAAGGAAACAGATCTCATGTAACATTTGTGAGAAATACTACAATAAGAACTTTCCCAATGATTATTTGATGTATATGTTGTGGAGTTAACGAATCAATAAAAACGATGAGTCACACACAATGTCGTTACAAAGTTCACGTACACACACAGACACGCACACAGTGCCCGCGTTTAACTTTGCACTGTCTTTATGCAGCAAATGTGACAGGATACACGTTAATATGCACTGATGTATGGACATCCGTTATGTTAATTTACAAAATAAACCTGATTTAACGTCCACAAACCAGGATTGAAGCATTTTTTTTATAATTGTACTGACAAACGGCTGTATTGATAAAGATGGTAAAATCAATGTAATTCATTACAAACATGCACTGTTTTAAAAACGTTTTAAACTTGTAAATCTCAATCTTGATCACATTTGATGATGATTAATGATCACAGAGAGCTGAACAGATCTTTTAATCCCAGTTGCTTTGCACACGTCCTGTCTTGTTGATATGATTATACATGTTACTATGGAGACATGTTAATACACAGCTGTCAATCAGTTCAGTGTGCGTGGAAACTGCACTCTTATGTCATGTTGCGGTGGGCCTCAAAATGGGAGGGATTTGGATCTTAAAAAATTAAAATTAAAAAAATTTAAAAAAGAGAATTATTGTGTTTCCACCCCTCCAATATGACTGTGAACACACAATACCTACACACAGTTCTGTCCAAACAGCTTACAAAAGATGATTTTCATCATAGGTGCTCTTTAAGTTAGAAGTAATGATTCACTGAGTAATGATTCACAAATATGTGATGATTCAAATGCCTTGGGATGTTAAACCATAGACTATAAAAGGTAACGTTTGATTAAACGAATCACGATACATGTTTTTACCAGAAGGGACAGTTGTGTTTACTGTAGTTATTGTTGTTGTTGTTGTTGTTGTTGATGTTTTTTTCTGCAAAGTTTTATAATGCGCAACAGCAACAAAAATAGTCAGCTAGTTAAAAGACAACATGAGTCTGGATGTCTATAAATGTGGATGTGTACAACTTATGTGATGTGTACATTGATTTAATACTATTTAACACACATGTAAAAACAACAACTTGTCACTAGTAAAAATCAGTCCACCACATCCCTCTACGCTTCCGTTACAGTCAGTTACAGTTACAGTTACAGTTTTTATTTCCCTGCTGAATAATCCAGCTTAAACCAGCCTAAGACTGGGTTGGTTTTCACATGGTCATAGCAGGATAGGGTGGGATACTACCTTCTAAGACTAGCTTGACTAGCTTAAACCAGTCTAGTAAGACCAGCCTGGAAATATCTGAAACCCCTATAAACTAGGCTGGTTAAACTTTTTTTTTCCAGTAGCAAATTTAGAACTTAAAATTGACCAGTTTTTAATCGCTTAATTAAATTGAAGACTGTAAACAAGACAAGTACTAAAAAGTGAACGGTTTTTTTTTATCAGCAGGGGGCGCTGAAACTGTGCAGCGGTCTCAGCTTGTGCCAGAAAATGTAGATATGCCAATGTTTCTTAAAAAAGTAAAATGATATTGATAGAAAAACACAAAAGACTTTAAGCAAAGAAAAACTATTTATTTTAAATGTGTGATGCTTCTTTAGATATTTGTATTCATTGTTTTGTTTAACTTGGAATTTGTTTCAATTTTGTTTTGCTATTTGACAAAATATGCTCTTATTTTACAAGGAAATGTGCACTTGTTCATTTCCAAATTGTCTTAAATAATTTAGTTTGAAAGATCAGGAAAAAGAATCAAATCGAATAGTATCAAATTGTGAGTTGAACATATCATTACACCCCTACTAGCTCTATATCCCAAAGTTCGGTCATCTACAGTCAACAAAATTATACTTTATTTATTTATTTTTTGAATATATTTGATATGAAAACAGTTTTGTGTGTGTGTGTGTGTGTGTGAGAGAGAGAGTGTGAGAGAGAGAGAGACACCAACTAACAGCGTTATTTAGTCGCAATACTCAATCGCAAAACAAGTTACTTTTAATTTAATCTGTAGGCTATATCTGGTTTATTGCATGTAACTGTGTGCTGGAAATGTTGTTTCTTTTGTCGGAATGTTTTAAACTCAATGGAAATATTTACATAATCACAGGCCATAACAACATGTGAAACTGATAAACTTTCACTACATCATGATTAAAGATGTGTTCAGCTCTCTGAATTTTGCATTTTAAATGTTACTTAAGTGTCCAAACAAACTCTTTCTTCTCTACTGAATGTTGAAATGTTGTCATGTTGAAATCCTTTCTACAGAAACCCTGAGTTTTGATCTAAGAATCAGTTCATGAAAGTGTAAGATTGTCTTTCCAGGAAGAAGTTCCTCAGTTTTGCCGTCTGTGTTGAGTTTATTTTGTGGTCAGTGACTCGATCACATTTCTAGGGAACTTCCAGCCACTGCTTGGGGATTATCACCAGATTGAACATCAGTTGTTTTTTATTTGTTTTTTTGCAGAGTGGTCAAAATGTTCAGTTCCTTAATCTTACGTAATATTATAAATGATAAAAGTAAATCTTAATGAGGTTTGTCTTGTCAAGACTTTACTGCAAGTCTGTTTACGTCCCTCAGAAGTGCTCTGCCCTCCAGTGGTTATTGAAATTCATTACAGTTCAAACGATGTATAAATGTTGGCTCAAAATATCATCAATGTTAAAACTATTGTGCTTAAAGTTTCTTCTGTGAAGGATCATGCAACTGAAGACAGGAATAACTATGGTGGAAATTCACGTTTGGCTCATAGAAATAAAGAAATCTTTTTCTACAAATATATTTTTAAAAATTGAAAATGCTTATTTTAAAAGGTGGTGTTTCCACTTTGTCTTATTTTTATTTATTTATTTATTTATTTTCAGGTGAAGGTGAAGCTGTGCAAGTCATTTTCAGATGTTGATGGTCTCTGAATGCTCTTTATTGACTGGAATCAAGAGGGGGGTTTTTTCCAGAAAATTTCATCAGTGATCTAAAACAAACACTCAACTAATCTGCTGTGTGCTGTTTTACTCAAACACATTCATTCTGCTCTAACAAACCCATTTTTAGAAGGAGAAGTTCATCGAAACCAGCATGATGGACATGTCAAACAGCAACAATGAACATGTGACCATCAGTTTAGAGTGCAGTGCATTTGACATTTATACAGTATGTAAATATTTTAGTTAATTTAATTAGTTTTTTTCCTGTAAACATTTCAGTTTTGTCACTTTAATAAGATGCTGTTTAACTAAAACCCTTTCCGTTTCTATTTGCTCTTATTTTTACTTCATTTTTATTTGGTTGAAAATATAATTTCAGTAATATTACAGCGCATTCATTATGGAATTGTAGCAACTCTTAACAAAAAAAAAAACAAAACAAAAAAAAAAAGCCCACATTTCCTACTGTCTGAAACAAGTGCAACTATCAAGAATGACTGCACGCTCAAAAATAAAGGTACAAATCTGCCACTGGGGCGATATCCTTTTAAAAGGTACACTTTTGTATCGTATAGGTGCACATTGAGTATTAAGGCAGTGCATACTACATTTTTTCAACCTGGAGGACCACCAGCTCTGCACATTTACATGTCTCCTTAACCAAACACACCTGATTCAGATCATCAGCTCATTAGCAGAGAGCGAAAGACCTGTAACGGGTGTAAAAGACAAAGGAGACATCCAAAAAAACGCAGTGCTGGTTGTGTTCTAGGTACGTGGTTGAGAAACACTACATTTAATTTACAAAAATGTTCCTTTAAGGTAAAATGAGGTACACATTTGTACTTGTGCACATTGAGGGCAGTGTTTCTCAACCACGTTCCTGGAAGACCTCTAGCTCTGCATATTTACATGTGTCTTTGCCTGACACACACCTGATTCAGCTCATTAGCAGAGACAGAAAGACTTGTAATTGGTGTAAAAAACAAAGGAGACACCCAAAACATGCAGTGTTGGTGGTCTACCAGGACTGTGGTTTAGAAACACTGCCGTAAAGGAACATTTTTGTAAATTTAAAGTAATGTGAGGTACACATTTGCACCTGCACATTGGTACCTTAAGGCAGTGTTTCTTTACCACGTTCCTGGAAGACAACCAGCTCTGCACATTAACATGTCTCCTTAACCTAACACACCTGATTCAGATCATCAGCTCATTAGCAGATAGCGAAAGACCTGTAATTTGTGTAAAAGCATGAGTGTCCAAAACATAAGGTGCTGGTGGTCTTCCAGGAACATGGTTGAGAAACACTGCCTTAAAGGAACTTTTTTGTTAATTTTAGGTAAAATGAGCTACAAATTTGTACTTGTACTTGCACATTTGTACCTTAAGGCAGTGTTTCTCAATCATGTGCCTGGAGGACCACGAGCTCTGCTTATTTACCTCTCTTCTAAACCAAACCGATTCAGATCATCAGCTCATTAGCAGAGACCGAAAGACTTGCAATGGGTGTAAAAGACAAAGGAGACATCCAAAACATGCAGTGCTGGTGGTCTACCTGGAACATGGTTGAGAAACACTGCTTTAAAGGTACGCTTTTGTAAATGTAAGCTAATATGATGTACACATTTGTACTTGTGCACATTTAGGGCAGTGTTTCTCAACCACGTTCCTGGAAGACCACCAGCTCTGCATATTTACACGTGTCTTTAACCGAACACACCTGATTCAGCTCATTAGCAGAGACCGAAAATCTTGTAATTGATGTAAAAAAAACAAAAACAAAGGAGACATCCAAAACATGCAGTGTTGGTGGTCTTCTAGGACTGTGGTTTAGAAACACTGCCTTAAAGAAACATTGTTGTAAATTTAAAGTAATATGAGGTACACATTGGTACCTTAAGGCCGTGTTTCTCAACCACGTTCCTGAAAGACAACCAGCTCTGCACATTTACGTCTCCTTAACCAAACACACCTGATTCAGATCATCAGCTCATTAGCAGAGAGCGAAAGACCTGTAATGGATGTAAAAGACAAAGGAGACATCCAAAAAATGCAGTGCTGGTTGTGTTCCATGTACGTGGTTGGGAAACACTACCTTTACTTTACAAAAATGTTCCTTTAAGGCAATATGAGGTACACATTTGTACTTAAGTATAAATATGTACATTTAAGGTACAAATGTGGACCTGACGGGTATAAAAGTTTACCTTTTGAAAAGGTAATGCCCCAGTGACAACTTTTGTACCTTTATTTCTGAGAATGTGTCTTAAAAGGAAATTTTGTACAAAACACACAAAAATATACATTTATTTTGTTTTCAACACAAGAAACACAGTCCTTTGGAGAATGAGCGTCTGTTAAACACTCCGTAATATTGCCCAATATCATATACGAGCAAATAAGATGAGCCTATGAGCTATTTTAATATATTAGAGAGAAAAAAAAAAAGATTTTAGGGGAGCTTCAAACAAACCCACGGTGGATTTGAGCGCCCTTGCAGTAACGGTAATGACTTATTCAACATGATTGCAGTATTATTTCAACATTTGAGTGTGTTTGCAGAAGTTGAAAAGCAATGTTGGTTTTGTAATAAAAAGCTGTGGTTCTCCACATTTCCTAAGCATGTTTTCATTTTTGGTGTCAGTGTGCATTAAAAAAAAAAAAAAGTGTTTGCTTATTTATTAGGTTGATTAACTAATTGAGACCAGATTCTTTCATTTAAAAAAAGTGCATTTAACTGGATTTAAATGTCAGGAGTGCCAGAGTTTGGAAGAGACTAACATGTTTGAATGGTGTTTGTGGCTCTTAAAAGGTGAAATGAGGCCTTAAAGCCACGTCATGTAACGCACAAAATAGACAAAAACATCTGTACTGTGTGAAGCAGCAGTGTTCTTTGTCAATGTACGAGTCGTTTTTAAGAATAAAGCGACTAAAACATTTGTGATTGAGTGATTATTTGATTATAAATACAGATCTGAGACCATTATTGTAGGTCACTTTTGTGTCCGCTTTGTTAAAGGGGTTTTTACACTATACATGTTAATACTAATGCTGTCAAATGATTTATTGCATCCCAGATGAAAGTTTGTATTTACTTTTTGCTGCCAATATCAAGTACCGATTCCCTGTCATGGTGATTGGCAGATACAGAGTACTGAGTCAAACCCTTTGAGCTTTATCATGCATTAAGCACATTTTCTCTATATGTATGATCCTTAAGGGAAGATTTCGCTTTACCTAAAAGTATAAATCAAGAATGCTGCATATAATACTTTAAACATGTCTCTTAAAACAATTTAGAAGTGAACATGTCATGGCCAGAAGCAGCTTTACAGAAAATAAGTCATTCATTTTACTTTGGCTTAGGCTATGTATAATATACTGGAGCACATGTGCGTCTCATAAACAAACCGATGTGATTGGCCAGATTGACGAGTACCGATCAAGTCATGAAATGTGAATATTGGCCAATACAGATCTTCAGCCAATCGATCGGAGCATCACTATATTTACGTAATATATACAGGTGCACTGTGTGTGTGTTTATCCATATATGTATAAATATACACATCCAGTACTGTACATTGAATACAAAATAAATGTATTGATATATTTAATTAATATACAATAATATATTTGTGTGTACAGCCTACATTAAATTAATCAGTACAAAAGCCAAAACTGGAACTAGTCTAACAAAAAACTTAAGATCACAGTCCAAAAATCAGTACACCAATCATTTAGAATATGGACAAAAAAACTACTAATTTTTGCCAATGCACATTTATTATTATTTTTTTTTGCTAATTTTATTTGCAATGACTCATTTGTATTAAAATAAAGACATTAGGTGACCAAACTTTAATTTTAATGAATATAACAAACATTAAAAATATAATAATTATAACCAAGTAAAAATAAAACGTTATATTTTAATACACATAAATGAACTGTTAAATTGTTAGCGACAAAACACAACTTAATAAAATAGTCACTTTACTGACAGCTTAGGTCAAGTTCGCGTTTGGCAATTTAAAAAATAAATAAATAAAAAAAATGTAAATAAGAGAGACTCTTACTGATCAAGAGACAAAGTCTTACAAGATTTTACTTTCCAAAAGATTTTATTCTTTGCAAAAGGTGGCGCAGTGGGTAGCGTTAACACCTCTTAGCAAGATGGTCCGTGGTTCGAGCCTCGGCTGGGTCAGTAGGCAATTCTGTGTGGAGTTTGCATGTTCTCCCTGTGCTCATGTGGGTTTCCTACGGGTGCTCCGGTTTCCCCCACAAGTCCAAAAGCGTGTTACAGGTGAATTAGGTCCGTAATTGTCCGTAGTGTGTGAATGAGTGTGTATCCCTGTGATGGGTTGCAGCTGGAAGGGCATCTGCTGCATGAAACACATGCTGGATACATTGGTGGTTCATTCTGCTGTGGCGAACCCAGATGAATAAAGGGACTAAGGCGAAAAGAAAATAAAGGAATGAAAGAATAGGTCTGACAGACATACAGGAACACCGGCTGCTGCAGACTGCGACCAGAAAGTTAAACAGACACCAGGCTATCTTCTTTCCCCTGCCTCAAAGCCCACTTCATCACAGAGGACTCCCTGCTCTCTTCAGAGCATTCCTTCTCTGAGGATCAAGATATGGCTCCCAGGATTTACACTTGCTGAACGCATACAGGGCTCAGTATATATGAGTTCACCACTCACAAATCTCTCTTTTAAATTTATATTTTTAATAGGAAGCTTTACAAAATTGTATTTGTACATTTACATTAGATTAGTCAGAACTGAAGCCAAATCTGGAGCTTATCTAACAAAATAACTTATGATAATGCTTTAAAAACTACAACAGCCACATTTTTGTCATAGAAAAAATATTAAATACAAATTTTAAAAAAGGAAAAATCAAGCAAAAAAAATGTTTAAAAAATGTGTTGAAATTTTGTAGGTTGTAATTTTTTTTGCAGTATTTTGCTTGAATTTAATTGTATTATCTTTCAATTTCTAAATATGTTTGATGACTAATATAGTATTTTTATAAATATATCTGTTTAATGAATCTATGTTTATTATCTATCTTTGTTTAAATGCACCAAAATACCTAAAAATGGCCAATATTCATTGAGAAATGGAGAAAAATATTCATTTTCAAAATGGGCTGTACTGAGTTATGCTGAGCGCTGTATGTTTAAAAGCAGAAGACAGCCAACTGAATGACCCTTCTTATAGGCCATTCAGAAGGTGATCTGCATCTTTTCTAAGGAAAGCTCACATTTCTTAATGTATGGTGATTTTAGTAAGAAATAGAAGTTTTATAGAAATTTAGTAATTTTAATTATAATTTAGTAATTTTAGTAATAATTAATAATACATTTAAATAATAAATTTTCCACCACAATCTCTAACCCAGAATAAAACATGGAGCTCAAATTACTAAGACCACAAAACCCAATCCAACCCCGAACAATTAAAAAAACACAAACTTACCTTGGTAAAAACCCTAACTGGCTTTCTCTAAAAAGCTTCAGAAACTGATAGAAATCAATAAATAATATTTAAAAAGCAAAGCTCAAACATTTTTTTTATTGTAAGCACAAGATTACATACAATGGTGAACTAAACTTTGCAGGTCAAAACCTTTTCTTCACCCGGTTTACTTTTGCACAAAGTATATTTGGACGATAAAAAATAAAACAACCTATAAGTTTAAATATGTACAGCATCGATAAATTAATATTTAAGAGTCTTCTCTCAAATGACCAGTGCATACAAAGCAAAAAAAAAAAAAGGGGGGGAGATTTCAGATACGTTCAGTCATCCAACACATTAACGTTTGTAAAATACAAAACATAGTAAAATAAGCTCTCAAGTCAGTAGTTTCATTTTGAAGGAGTTCCATAAATATGAAGCAACTTACTGAAATGTTTCTGGATTTCAGTCTTTCATAAAGGCCACCTATGAGTTAAACGAACGATGATGATGATGATGATCAAAATAAAACAAAACACTGTTTAAGCCAAATAAACAGCATTCAAATTAAAAACTCAACTTCAGAAATCAGACTCGGATTGAGACTGAAAGACAAACTTTGGCAAAACATGAAAAAGTCTATTCAAGAACAACCAAAAAATAGATATAAATATAACAGCAGATCATGAATGAATCGCAAAAGCGACCCTTCCGAATATTTACAGTACATAGCAGTGTAAAAATAGGTGCGGAGTCAGCATTTATAGGTATGAAAGCACAGAAATGGAGGATGAGACGCCACATTCAGTCAGACCCGCTGATTCCAGATGATGAAACAAACACTAATGTCAGACTTCCCCAGAAAAACCACCTGCTTCATTCCTGAGATAAAAACAATCCAGTCCAGCGTTTATGGCTTCCGTTGAGATTTCGCCCCTTTTTCCAGGTCCATGTTCGGGCTGAAGTGTTTCTACTGTCTCTTTAAAGACGAGGCTTTCTTCTTCCGCGCCGCCAGCATCTCGTAGAATGGGTCTCTGCTAATGGCGGATCTGGACATCGGGAGAAAGTTATGAGTATTTTAAATAAAATAAAATTAAAATCTGAGCAAACAAAAATTCTTAAGACATTTTATTTCAAATGTACACTGTAAAAAAATATGCTCAAATGAACAGTTTTCCATATTTTTTGATTCAAGTTTTTATTTATTTATTATTTATGCTTTTGTTTCACATTATAATAGTTTTTTATCAACTACGTTTGCTGTCTAAAGGTAAACACTTTTTAAATCTCACCACTCTAGAGATGGCTGTCCACGCTTTTATTACATCAAGGTTAGATTCCTGCAATGCACTTTACTGTGGCATGTCAAAATTCCAGGTTTCTCGCCTTCAGCTGGTCCAAAATGCTGCTGCTAGATTTATTTGTAATAGCAGAAAATATGACCACATTACCCCTCTTCTAAGAGGCCTTCAATGGCTGCCTGTGCAATTCAGAATTGATTTTAAAGTGCTTTTACTGGTTTATAAATCCCTCCATAATTTAGCCCCATCTCTTAGAGCTGCTTCATTTTTACACTCCCGTGAGATCTCCTTAGGTCAAGTGAGCAGAATTTTCTTTCAGTTCTGCAGTCCAGGCTGAAACGAAGATGGGACAGAGCTTTCTCTGTGGCAGGTCCTCGGTTGCAAAACACCTTGCCCCTTGAGATTAGAATGACCCCATCATTATCTGTTTTTAAATCACTTCTTAAAACACCTTTTTAGCTTGGCTTTTTAAGATTATTTTAATAGTCTTTTCTACTGCTACATTTTTACAGAAGTTTCTTTTGCCTTACTTCTATGTTTTTATACTCTTTTTTTTTTTTTTACCTTGTCTTATGTACAGCCAGGGTTATTGCAGGTTACACAGGGTTAACAGGGACTTTTTAAGACATTTTTAAGACCATTATAAATTAAATTTTAGACTCATAAAGGGTTAAGGCTAAGGAATTTTTCAAATAACTCGGATGGAAAAGAGTTTTATTTGCCTAATCAAAAAAAATATTATAATTTAAAACATTTAATAATATAATAATAATAAAAAATTAAAATATTTTAGATTTTATTTCTTAGCTAAATATTTTAAATATTGTGTAAACACAAGCAAGCTCTTCTTGTATACACTTTTTTCCAACATAAACTTTCTTTAAAATAATTTTAAAAATGAACAAATGTTTTAAGTTCAAAAACTTAAAACATCTGTTAATTTTTTAAATTATTTTGGATCAAAATAATTAAAAATAATGGATTGTTGGTGATTGTATGCATTTTGGCCAGATTTGGTGGCAATACATGAACAAAGGAAAATTAAGTCCTGTTTAAAAAAGATTTAAGACCTACAACACAATATTTCAGTAAATTTAAGACTTTTTAATGCCTAAATTTGGATTTAAAGATTTAGGACATTTTAAAACCCAGCAGAAACCCTGTACAGCACTTTGGTCAGTCTTGTGACTGCTTTTAAATGTGCTCTGTAAATAAATGAATTTGAACTTGATTATGAGACCTTAATCTTTCATCTGACAACTTTTAACCTTAAAAAGTTGGAAAAAGTGACTTTTACAAACAATTTGTATTAGTTTAAAGCAGGGGTCTCAAACTGCCACTTGCAGCCATTATATATGCAACAATATAATGAGATTCAGCGCAACAAAACACATTTTTAAGTCACTATCATTGTGGTGCTGTTGCATACAGCCACTTGTGGTTTTGACCTACTGGACATTTAAAGTACTGTACTATATGTTTGGGTTAAATGTTAAAGTAGTGTACTATATGTTCAGGTTACTATTGGTTTCTCTCAGTGTGCAGTTGAGAGTAACGAACACGCAGATTATTTCTGGGGCTGATTTAAACGTTGAAATATGTCTGTAAGTGCTCTATTTTTACTTAAGCTATATATTTGTAAATATTTAAGAGCCGTTTTGATTCTAATCAGTTTTATACCGCCTGTATTGTGTTGTACCAACACCTCTTTATGGCGTTATGCTGGTTATGTAAATATGATCCTTTTGCCAATATTCCATTCAAATGTTCTCATTTAATAGATTTTCCTCATATGTGTATTAAGATTTGTATAAAAATGTGCTTTAGTAAAGTTTCACTGCTGGCTAAATTAAACATGTTTAAGTAAATGTGAATGTATACATACTTTCCCCCTCTTTGCTGTTGTTTTACAATAAAGTAAGATATCGAGAAGAACAAATGTAAAGTCAACAAAGTTACACAAACTCTTTTCTGCTGTCTAGCGCTATTTGTTAAACTTTTGGTTAGGGACGTAATTTCTATTATTATGCCCATTATTAAATTGTAGTATTTTCATAGCAATTTAAACGATCGCTTCAATATATACAACAAGAAACAAAAAGGAGTTTTGATACTCTGGGGAAGAATGTTCGAGTGCATCAATTACATCAAGTTTCCACTTTTTTCTTGTGCTTGAAGGTTAAAAACAGCCCTCCTACGAATTGTCAGTTACTGATATGGCCCCCCCAAAAATTGAGTTTGAGACCCCTGGTTTAAAGTGATTTATTGTCTGGGTTGGTGTTGTATTGTATGCTGCAAAACCTTGAAAACTGCTTCATCAATTAATATATTATTTCTAATACTTTATATTATTTCAAACTACTAAAACGTCAATAAAAGTCACTTTGTTAAACTGTAGAGTTCAATTTTCAACATCAAAAGTTGACCGAGCAGAGATCAACATCCCATTATAAAATTCACAATCGTAGATCTTTTTTACACTGTAGCATTGAACAATATTTTGAAAGTGTTTTTTTTCCATTGAGATTTTTTTTACTTTTAGTAATTATATATTACATAAATGTACTTTCAATAGTTTAAGCAACATTTCAGATTTTATTACAATCATAAAACCAAATATGAGATTAAAAGAAACTTCATCAATATTCTGAATAATTCATCCAATAAAATTAGAATGAAAATAAAAAATAAATAAATAAATAAACAGAAAATGCCTTTAATCTTATTTTAATAATTATGATTATAGCTAATTATTTGTTTATAATACTGTTGACTCAAGTTTTTATTGTGTGTTTTTTTATTTAAGTTTTAGTCAAAGTGCCTTATTTGTAATAGGCACTGTGGCTCAGTGGTTAGCAAATGCCTGATTGGCTAGCTTAATGTGTTAAAGCATTGCGTTACTAACACTGAGTTTGTAAGTTTGAAACCAACATTGGGCTTCACTTGACTGCATTTCGTTGCCTTGTACTTGTACATGTGTGATAGCAATAAAGTTGAATCTAATCTAATCTAATCCAATCTAATAGTTTCTAAGACAATATTTTAGATTTCGTTTTTAAATCTTACGATCCAAATATTGAATTTTTTTCAACAAAACATTTGTATTTATCAACATTCTGAATAATGTTTTATCCAGCAAATTTGGAAAATCCAGTGGAGGAATAAGACAAAAACTGAGAAAATATTAATTTTAGTATTACTGGTGTTTTGTGGTTTTCATTTACTTTTGACACTTTCAGTTTTTATTGTCATTTCTTTTTCCAATTTAAGTTTTAGTATTTATAGCCGCTAATTTAACTATTTATTTATCTTAAAATCTTAATATTAGAATAAACAACACTTGGAAAATATTTCATTTAATTCAGAATAAAAATAAATAGAAATAAAGTGTGTGGTTAATTTATTAATCTCATTTTGATTTTAACTATTTAAGTACATTAACCAGTGCTTAATTTGAGCTGGATCATGCTGATTCCTGTTCCGCAAAAATGTCAGATATTCATGTTTTGTGTTCAGGTATTTATTTTAATGGAACCGCCATTAACTTGTGTGTGGTCAATACCTGCGTGTGTGCATGCGTGCATGAGTGACGGTAGTCACCATGCCTAAATTAAAGCAAAAGTCACGTTTATTGGTCCTCAACAATATTTTCAGGCAATCTTGTTTCTTTCATATCTTTACAATCACTGTTGGTGATTGTTTCGGGTGCAGTGAGGATTGAAGATCCTTCTTGAAGATTAGACTGAGGGAGTCATTTAATTTTTTCATTCGATACATAATAGTGAATTAAACTGAGAAGTGATTGTTCATACGATTTATGTTTGTAGCTACATGTTTTTATTATCCATAACTGACCTAAAACCTTATGCAGCACAAAACAATTAAAGACCGTTTAGAACTGAGATGCTCTCACCTTTAATGATGTCATGTTCTGGGAAAACTGAAATTGTTTGGTGGATGTGGGACATGGTAACTTTTATTTCCTGCTTTTGTTCCAGGAATAATTCATTTACAAATTAAGCACTGACACCAACCTATATAATTTCAATTACAAGAATTGCAAAATTTCTTCATTTTGAATCCATTCTAATGTCTAATTTCACTTAATAATAAATGCTGAAGAAAAAAAAAATTCTTATCTCGGCTAAATTTATAACAACAAAAAGGATTAAAAAAAATGTTTGTTATGTTTTGTTTTTGATTTGTTGTTAATTGATGAAGAATGATTTTGAAGCAGCTGAAGCTGTATTTGGTCTTGAGTAGTTTACTCAGTGTGATAATGCTGAATGCTTTCATGAACTGACTTGATGCTCTTGATCCAGTCTTCTTTCTCCTCTGTTGTTGGCGCTGAGATACGGTAGAAAGTGTGATTTCCCTCCACCACTCGACCGTCAGCTTCAGTCTTACACGCTTTGATCACCTGATCCTTGTTGTCTGGGATGAACAGCTCAAAGCAGTTCTGTAAAAACACACAGACACACTTAATCCACATTCCTGACAGAGTTCCATAAAACCAGAGAATGTATCATTTTTGTGCTTTGAATGTGAAAATCAAAACACATTTTAAAAATCAGCACAAAATCCAAGAGGTTAATAATAATACGCTTATAAGGGTATAAGCAGTGAAATATGGAAGGATTCAACTGAAAGATGAAGATGAGGCTTTTCAGAGTGCCATTAGTGGTCGTCAGATTCGATAGTTCTATTATCACAATGCTGGAGAGATTGTGGAGAAGTAGGGGATTACTGTATGTTCACATATTTTGGGAATGTCTCAAAATACAAGAGTATTGGCAGGACATTAAAAGGGAGGTTAGTAAAGTTTTAGGATGCGACATACCACTGCACCCAGTTTTTTTTTTTTTTTTTTGCTTGATGGCTTCCCCTGATCAATTCAGTAAGTCTCATCTATTTGCAATACATGTGTAATTAAAAACAGCTAGGAAGATAATTACAGTGAGCTGGATGAAGACCCGCCCGACCTACTTTGACACAATGGACACAGAGACTGAAACAGATATATATATATATATTTAAGAAAATGCTTGCAGATTTACAGTTGAAATCAGACTTTTTCCAACAGACCTGGGCATTAGGTGAAACATACTTGCATGATCTTTGAAAGGCTGTCAGGAGCTTTGTCTTTGTCATAGTTATTGCCTTTTTATTAGATTTTGTTTATTTATTTATTAAAATTAATAATAGTGTAATTATTTGTAATAGTGCTAGTAAAAGATTAATCGTAATGAATCATATCCAAAATAAAAGTCTGTTATAATATAAAGTCTGACATATTATATGTGTGTGTATGATATAGATTAATTATGTAAACGTGATAAACACACATACATAAAAAACTAAACTATACAGAACCTTTTTGCTGTATACATTTTTAAATGTATATATATATATATATATATATATATATATATATATATATATATATATATATATATATATATATATAATTTTTATCATATGCATATGTATTATATATCTAAATGTAAATATACTTTTTTTTTTAAATATATGCATACATTTATGAATTTATATTTACATAATAAATATACACAGTACACACACACACACACACCATGTGAAAAACTTTTATTTTAGACGCTATTAAGTCAATATTTTTTGCCCAGCGCTAAATTTTATGTGTGTTTGTGTTATAGAATGTTAAAAACTGTATAGAGTAAAATAAATGAGTCATGAAATATTAAATTAAATTTAAAAAACACGATAATCAGAAGGCTTAAGGTGAATACAACAAGGTAAAAACATTTATTACATAAAAATAAATAAATAAATAAAAATAGTAAATATTTAAAGGGATATAAGATGAAGAACATAAAATAATAAAATAAAAGTGTATTCAAATTAAACAATAAATGCACTAAAATAAATAATAATTAAATGTGTCATAAAAAAACTCAAATTAAATCAAAACAAACTACTTTTAAAATAAAACAACTTTTCCTAAAATCTATAAAAGTATAAAATATTCAATTATTTTTAAAAAGTGTAAAAATAAATTTGCTTAAATAAATATGTTATAATAATAAAAAATACATATATTATAATAATAATTGTTACAACTTTTTTTTAAATGCACAGGATGCACTTGTAAGCAGATGAGAAAGCTCACCGGCTTCTTAGAGTCCTCCACTTCCCTAATACTGAGGTTTTCCAGAGGAATGATTCCTCTTGGCTCTTTATCCTGAACAAACCAAAAAGAAGAAGTAGAAACCTGTTAGATCACTGTAAAATACAAGGTAGCAGCTGAATTAAGCAGCGATACTCACAGTGGTGTATTCAAAGTAATACAGACAGTTGTCAGTCAGGATGAACCACCGTCTCTTCCAGGTCTTTACTCGTCCACCTGCAGATCACAGACCACAAGATAAACACGCTGGACCACCAGCACTGAGGCCACGCTTATACTAGTGTGTTTTCATTCTAAAACAGAACTATTTCTCTTGTTGTTACGCCTGTCATCCACCCTAATAAGAGTTTTTGACCTGCAAAAACAGGCTTATGAAATTGTTGCATTTCAGTTGCACTCTCTGATTAGATCACCATGTTTTCGTCTTGATCTTAGATGTAAGGATCATATTGTGTTATTGATCATAACCAGTAACAGTGGGGACAATTTACAGTATATTTAAAGAAAACACAACTAAAGAGTCTGAGCTCGTGAGATCTCCTTATAGATGCAATATTTTTCAGAAGGGTGTGAAGAAAAAACAAGAATTATTTACCCGACTACCACTATAATTGAAGCTTAGAAAGAAAGTGGATTACAAAACAATAATTAGACTAGTAATATGTATACTGTATATATTACTGTATGTGTGGCTTTAGATTTTTAAATGAACTATCGAATCTTAAGACTCCCATTTAATACAACTCAACACATTTATCTATAAAGACATATGAATATGAATATAAAAAATAATTGACTCTCTTCCAGCTGGAAGCGCCTATAGAACAACATGAATAACAGTGTTTACATGCTTACCGGTGTAAGCAAAGCAGCGTAATGTCATATCGAGCAGGACTTTCTCGCTTTCATGAATTACACAGAAGTTCAGGAAAACTTTAGCATAAAACTACATATTGTATAATCAATATTAATAGCTAATTGAAAACATGTAAAATAGCATTTAAGAATTTTAAATACTTTTTAAACGCCCTTAATTTCTCCAAACTGATATATCAACTTAATATTTTTTAAGGCACCTACACTGACAATTAAATTATTTCTTTGACGCAAAAACTTCTGAGAAACTGAGACTAGGAACGTCAGATATTTATACTGATAACAATGTAAATGACAATAATTCATATGCAATAATTCAGGAGACAAAAAAGTCCAGTGTCTTTAGAGAAAAGTGTTATTTTTCCTTTTAAAAGGTTTAAGACACCCTTGAGTACTGAAATGTTAACAGATTTGTGTGTGTTGAGCATCAGTTAAGACAGCGCTAGCACCTGTCAGCTTTAATTGTGGGGGGAAATGGATCATTTGAAGCTTTTGTCAGCTAATTTCATCTTCAGGGTTTAAAATAATAATTGGGGCAGGATCAAAATCGCATGTGACGTAGTGTGAATCTGCTAGTGGAGTGATGCTTTTGATTCTCATATTCATAGCTGAGTTCTCTTATCCTATGAGAAGTCCCTGCTTCTTAGTTTTTCATAAGAGCACAAGCTTTTCGAAGGCAAGGCAAACCTGCCAAGCTGTGAGACCCAATGACTGCGTGAGACCGAGTTCGCAGACTCCATGTACGGCACACAGTATTTAGTCGTTCATGAAGGGTCGTATGTGTTTGTTTCCATGATCCACAGGGTTTGTTGCATGTTTTTCCACGCGATGCTGTCAAAGCCGATACACCAAAGCTGTTTGCGTGCAGCACACACTTGGAGAATGGTGGACTGTCTTTTATCAGTCGAGTTCTTTACCATTCAGACAAATCGCCTATATTTCCGTGCTGCTGTGATCGCACATGTTTAAAGTCCTCCAGATTACTGGCAAGGCCAATGGTTGAAATAGACAGGGCGAGAGACCTGCTGCACTGCTATCCACCGTGTCTGCATTGAGACTCGAGGATTCAGGAGAAGTCCTCCTCATTTATAGTATTTATATAAACATGATTATCTTTATAATGATATAACAAATTGTGGTTATGTGTATATGAAATTACGAATAACATACGTAGGAGGACTTTACATTACTTGCTTTATTTGCATTTTAACTTTTAAATTTTGGGTTTGCTCAGGGTTTGGGTCTCATTTTGTGAGCCCATCATGATGCTTTTTTTTATTTTTTTTTTTTATTCTGAGGTAGACTTGAACCGAAAGAAAGGGCCCTTTAACATTCGCTTTGTGTAAATGCAATGCTTTATTCATACTGGATGCTAGAGGGCGCCCTTGTGCATATAAACTCCACATACAGTATGCATTACAGAAGTGAAGACATCAACTATTGATGTAGCTGAAGAAAAAGAAGATAGAAACAGATACAGTGCATCCGAAATCTGAAGTATGAAAAAAGGACAATTGTGACAATATGGGATTTATTTGTGCTGTTAAAGCCATCCTGTGTATTTTTATAAGAGAAATGTATATTTAAAATGCATAGCTAACTAACCTAACCTTTACCACTGTGCAGAATCATATAAAACACAGCTTTGGATGATGTCTTGCTCTTATCTGTATGATCAAACATTTGTGATTTTAGATTGTTGCATTTGAGCCTCTTACATGCACACAGTATCGTGGCATTGCTAACATCACATCGTAGCTTGCAGTCAAACATTTAAATTGAAATATTTTAATGTTCAGTTATACAGTCTGTGCTACTCTCAACGCGATTTAATCGTTATTTTTTTATATAATAGATGCCATTATAATTTGTTTCTTAGTGAGAACTTGTATAAAGGCTACTTTTTTACATGCACTTTCAGCAGTGTAACGCTAGTGTGGATGTAGCTCTTTTCTGAAGCATAACGGCAGAATGGATGAGGCTCATTTTTATTGTAAAACCCTGTATTAAAATGAAAACACACTAGTGTAAACACATAGCACACATATACACAGACAACATGAGCGGCCTCATCAGAAATAAGCCCAAAACCACCCATCATCAGGCAGAAGCTGAAGCGGTTAGTGAGCACATTAGTGACAGAACAATGGAGGAATGAATGAAGGATCTCTTCTCTAAGGCCACAGCAGTTGTGCTCCTCAATTGACTGACTTTAGCAGATTGATTAAATAAAATAAATAATTTTAAATAACAACCTTTAATTCTGAATATTACAAAAAATATATTAAAACAAAAAATAAAAAATGGCTACTACTATTACTAAAAATAGTCATTTGTGATATTGTTATTATCAATAATAATTACAGTAGGAATAAAGTGCAGCATGTTAATTTTATATATTTATAATTATATATAATAATGGTAAAACAACAAACATGTTATTTAACAAGCACAAATAAATAGTAATAAAAGGTTAAAGGGTAAACGAATTAAATCTAAAATCTACTACACTCCTACTACACCATGATGAGCTGCAGAATTATCAGACTATTATAGACTATATATATATATATATATATATATATATATATATATATATATATATATATATATATATATATATATATATCAGCGGTATCTCCTATAATATCTCCTATAATTCCTGTTGTATGCCAATATTGTTGAGTATGTGTGTGTGCTTGTGTGTGAGCAGGGTGTCTCATTGACACACACAGAGAGCAGGCAGTTCCTCAGTCGACCACAAGACTGCAGCAGAGACCAGCAGAAGAAGCTCATCGCAAACACAACACACCAGTTAAACACACGCACACACACACACACACACACACACACAAAAACACACACACACACACACACACACACACACACACACACACACACTCGGATGTAATAAAACATCTGTTAAAAAAAAAAAACGACAAACAAATGGAGAAAATGAAAGCGCAAAGCACCATGAAGCGCAGCTTAAAGGGATAGTCCACCCAAAAATGAAAATTCTGCCATCACTTACTCACCCACCACTTCTTTTGTGTTCAACAGAATAAAGAAACTCAAAAACAAGATATTTTGAAGAATGTTGGAAATTGGCAGCGATTGACTTTCAGAGTATTTTTACAACTATGGAAGTAAATAGTTATCAGCTTTCAAACATTCTTCAAAATATCTTCTTTTGAATTGAGCAGGAGAAAGAAACTGGCACTCAAGGGTGAGGAAATTTTCATTTTTGTGGCGGAACTACTCATTTAATGGCCTAGCCAAAGGAAACCAGTGTACATACCTCCTGAAGAAAGACAACATCAAACCAAAAATAACAAAAACAAATATGGAAAGAAAGAAAACAATCAAATTAACCATGAAAATCTGACAAATATCATAATAAAAGATTGTCAACAAACACTTGTGTTTGTCAGCCTGATTCAAAATACAGACTGAGCTGAAACAGGAGAAGCGTGCGGATAAATAAGGAGCTTGTTTCAGCTATTTTACATTAGCTTTGGGATTTAAAGCATGCTTCTGGGCTATTATGTTACACAACAGAAGACCTTTAATTCACAGCTCACAGAATTATAGCACACTCAAAAAAAAAAGACATTTTTGCTGCTTGTTTAAACTACTTACTTAAAATGAGATGAATCAACACATTTTTTGGGGGAGGAGAACAACTTAATTGTTTTATGTTAAATCCACTAAAATAATTAAAAACAATTCAGTAAACTTAATCCATTTGTTTTGGAAGAACATGAAAGTATTGTGTGGAACCCAGCATTTTACAGTGTATTCATATTTAGGAGTATGCATCTGTTTTTTTTTTTTGTTGTTTTTTTGATGTTGTGAATTGAGAAAAGATCTTTTACCCAGTTTGAGCAGCCAACCCTCACGGTCTGGGTTGAAGAAGGTGTGTGTGAGGTCGTTTCCGTCATCTTCAGGGATCTTGAAGGGCTCATTCTTAATGCTCTCATACAGGTTCTGCAGGAGTGTTTTCAACAGTCGGTCAAATAATTACAAATACAAATAAAATAAAGGCATCTAAAAGCAGTACAGAAGCTAATATATATGAATACAACCTAAAACAATATAATAATGACTTGTTCATTTAAAAAAGGTCACGCTTTACAATAAGGTTGTGTTAGTTAATGCATTTAATAAAATAGACAAACAATGAACAATACGTTCATTCATTTTCCTTCAGCTTTAATCCCTTTATTCATCAGGGGTCACCACAGCAGGATGAACCGCCAACTTATCCAGCATATGTTTTACACAGCAGATTACTTTTTTCAGCTGCAACCCAGTACTGGAAAACACCCATACACACTCATCCACACACATGCACTACGGTCAGTCAAGTTTATTTAATTCAAAAATACCACATGTCCTAGTACTGTGGGGGAATCCGGAGCACCCGGAGGAAACCCACGCAATCACAGGGAGAACATGCAAACTACACACAGAAATGCCAACTGACCCAGTTGGGACTCGAACCAGCAACATTCTTGCTGTGAAGCGACAGTGCTAACCACTGAGCCACCGTGATGTGAAGTGTGTCCATTAAAAACTAATTAAAAGTGAGGATGAATTCAAAGATGAAGTTAAAACAGAAGACTGACTCTGAGCAGGTCTTCAGGCAGGTCTCCTCCATCATTGATGCCTCTGTTCATGCATATGAATCTCTCTGCAGACGGCTTGTCCTTCACATTGGGGTTGTGCAGACTTGTGTTCAACATGATGATTGCGAATGAGAGAACATAACATGTATCTGCAAAAAAAAAAAGAGAGAGCGAGAGATTTTTTTTCTTTAACAACCCATGACAAAACTCCCAGCTGCTGATCTGTGAATAGTTTTATGGAGATAAGTGTACTTCACTTGTGTTCCAGTATCTGCACAAAACCTCATTATTGTGCAGTACAGACTGTACAACTGACTATTCATTATGCCGTACACACTGGACTTTTGGTTTGGTTTTAGAGAAAACAAACAAACACCAAAGACTCTTAGTATGTATTGTGTTTCATTAGAGTGCTCGGAGCAGCATTATAACGGAACAATAAGATGTATTTAGTTTGTTTGAACAGCGCTGCTTATTCTACACTTCCATCATGAGTGGAAGAACTGGAAGCAGTGGACTGTGGCATAATCAAGATTCTAAGAGTTATATTTAAAGCCTGGTTTATACTTCTGCGTCAAGTGATCGGCGTGACCCACGGCGCATGCAACGCGCACAGCTGTGCATTCATACTTCTGCGCAGCTTTTCTGTTGCTCTGCAATAACACTTCCAAAACATTAATTGGCAGTGCGGTGTTTATGTTGCTCTGTATTGAATTTCTTCACTGGTGTTTTGTTTTTTCTGAACGCTTCCTTCCTTCCATTTACACGGGGCTTCAGAGTCGAGGCTTGACAGAGGGAGTGTCTGAAGTCGGGGCTGACGCGATCATCATAGCAGCGTTAGCCAATAAAATTAGTCAGCAATAGGCCACAGTCTGAGCTGGTGTATTTGCATACAGCGATCTGATTGGCTGACGCTTCTGATGCCGCTTGAAAAGTTGCAGTGAGCAACGCCTCTAAAGCGGCGTTGACAGATCCACAATGCAGTTTGGCAACACCTGACGTCACCCATTCAAAGTGAATGGAAAGAGTTGACGATGACGCCCAATGTGAATGGGGCGTAAATGTACAAGTGGTTCAAACTCACTCATTTTGAGGCAGGAACCAGCGGACGTGCAACAACTTTAACCATGAGGTAAACACAAAACAAAACTTTCCATCCAGAGCTCCTTCACGGTACTCCACGCTTGTAAACAATCGCTCCATAAGGCTCACGCAGCTCTCGGTCCCACCCACACTCGTCAGCGCTACCAAGCTGACCAATCACAGAGTTTGCGCTACGCATCGTTGCGACGTGTAGTTAAATTTTTTGAGAGGTGCAGGTCAGCGATGGCCATGGCGAGGGCTATGCGTCCATAGCCCTTAAGACTTTCAGCATTGGGGCTAATTTGTATTTGCGTCGAGTGATTGCCATGCCTTGCGCGTTGTTGTGCATTTAAATTTCTGTGTGCTATTTGTGTTGCTCTGCAATAACACTTTCAAAACACTAGGTGGCAGTAGATTTCTCTACGTTCCTTTGTTTCAAGTTTCTTGGCGGGTGTTTTGTTTTTCCTAAATACTACCTTAATATTTAAGTAGCTAAAACTTGCTCATTCAGAAGCGGGAACCGGCAGACGTACAACAACTTTACATAAGATTTTCTTTTTCTTAAGATAAACACAAAAAAAAAAGTTTCCATCTGGAGCTCCTCCACAGGACTCAACACTTTTAAACACTCGCAACAACAGGCTTGCTGCTCTCTCGCGGCTATCAGCCCTGCCCACACTCATCACAGCTACCAAGCCGACCAATCACAGAGCTTGCGCTACATGTCGTTGTGACATGTAGTTAATTTTTTTTAAAAAGTGCACGTCAGCCATGGCGAGGGGTATGTGACTACGCGAAGACCGGACCATATGCGTGCATTCAAAGCAGAACTACAAATCAGCCTTAAGGGCTCATTCACACCACATGCATCTTTGCTTCTAAATATGCAAGATGCAATGCATGTGAATGACTTGAAAAAAGTGCAGCATGAAGCACGAGGGAACCCACACAGCCAGAGCGTCTGTAAACAGAAACTTGCAACAAAATTCCACCTCATCGAGCTCTTCTGATTAGTATACTGCTGTGAAACCGACAGTGATGAGCAGCGCTGCTTGAAAAAGTTAAAGTTTTTTTAAACTTGAAATGACGTCTAAAACACTTGACGCTCGCATGTGCAGCACTTCAAAAGACACAAGATGTGAGTGTAATGGTCAGACACATCTGTCAAGTGTGTATTTACATTAAAAAAAACAATAGAAAAGTAGCGTATTGTAGAGGAAAATTGCATTCTGTGTGAACAGACCTACTCTGCTTCATACTACCATGATAATGATAACACTTTACAATAAGGTTGTATAAGTTAATGCATTTACTAATATGAACAAACAAACAATACATTAATTATGGTATTTGTTCATGTTAGTTAACATTAAGTAATAAAAAATAACGTTTATTGTTAGTTTATACTAACTCACGGTACATTAACTCATGTTAACAAGCATGAATCTGAATTTTAATAATGCATTAGTAAACTATAACTAATAATCTCTGCACAAGTATTGTTCATAATTAGTTCATGTTAGTAAATATAATAACTTATGAAACCTTATTGTAAAGTGTGACCATGTTAAGAAGTGTAGCTCATCAACCAAAATGATTTCTGCAGAAATCCTATCGATTTAATGAAGACAGCAACTCCCATGATTCCACAATCTGCCACAGTATCATCAAAATACACCTTAGTTTGTTGTGAATATGCGCCATCTAGTGGTGAAAATGACATACCGAGTAGTCAACGGATGTCAAAATACATGACTTCAAACTAAAATAAAGCAATGCAATGGTTTTTCTGGTCCAACAGTGCATTCATAAAGTGCTTAAGCCAATGTTGCTGGAATTTCTAATCTTCTCAGAGCTCTCAAAAAGTTACATTCATTACACCCACAACACCTCTCAAATTTATACTCGGAATATGAAATGATGACAGACTCGATTGTTGCTGCTAGACTTTCTTAGCAACCAAGGGTAATATTGATGTCCAGCAGTGAATTGTCTGTTAATGTAATGCAAAAGTGGTCGTGACAGGCCGTGTGGAGCCACTTCACAGAGAAACATGTGGGCGACGTGGAAGAGTTTTACATCAGAGCCGCTCTTTACGCGCATATGAGCATGGCTGAGAGCATGAGATATTTATGAAGAGAGACCAAGACAAGAGGATGTGGGTGCAGTGAAATTGCAGAGGGACTAGGTCTCTGGGGTAAACAGCAGCTATGGGTTCATAAATTGAGTAATTTTCTGCACTCTGGGGTAAAAAATGTATAAATACATACAGTTGAAGTCAGAATTTATTAGCCCGCCTTTGATTTTTTTTTTTCTTTTTTAAATATTTCCTAAATGATGTTCAACAGAGCAAGGAAATTTTTACAGTATGTCTGATAATATTTTTTTCTTTTGAAGAAAGTCTTATTTGTTTTATTTCAGCTAGAATAAAAGCAGTTTTTCATTTTTTAAACATAATTTTAAGGTCAAAATTATTAGCCCCTTTACGCTTTTTTTCCTATAGTCTACAGAACAAACCATCTTTATACAATAACTTGCCTAATTACCATAACCTGCATAGTTACCCTAATTAACCTAGTTAAGCCTTTAAATATCACTTTAAGCTGTATAGAAGTGTCTTGAAAAATATCTAGTAAAATATTATTGACTGTCATCAGGGCAAAGATAAAAAAAAATTAGTTATTAGAAATGAGTTATTAAAACTATTATGTTTAGAAATGTGTTGAAGAAATCTGCTCTCCGTTAAACAAAAATTGGGGGGAAAAATAAACAGAAGGGCTATAAATTCTGACTTCAATTGTATGTATATGTATTTTAGGCATGACAATAGGTCACCGAGGATATTAACAGCAGAATCAGTGAGCTAATCTGCGCATTTCTGATAGTAAAATAATAGCCTACGTTAATCGTTTTTAAATGAATATTTATGTATAAAAACAAAAGTTTGTCTTTAGACAACATTTTCTTCACTTTCAAATACAGAAAATAAAAATAAGACATTTTAGCTTTTACAGATACAGGAACAAGATAGCAAAAAGGGTGCCACTTCAGCCTTAAAGACAACTCAGTTGTTTACTTGTCCTTTTTCTTTACACTGTGCAAACACAGAATAGCATCTATTGTGCCTAAATTTGGGGGATTCCGCCTCGCCTCCAAAACATGGCCAGCTGCATTGAATGAGTGTTCGCTTGCAACTCTTTTTGAAGGAATGTACAAGATTCTCCTCGCAAGGCGCTATACAGTAGTGTAAATAAGCGATCTTGATTCTCCTAGAATGATAGCAGATTTTCCTCTTATGACTCCTCTAACTAAAAGTTTGAACAATACTCTTGCACTTCCATTATTTTGGCCGTCTCATCTTCGCATTCTGCAAAGCCCACTCTCTCCTTTTTTGCTGGTTCACTGCCATGTCCCTCTACATCCACCTTTTTTATTACCCAACCCGCCTGAGCCGCGGATTATCCGCAGTGCCCGCGTATATAACTGCCATCAGCGCATCACTAATATACACAGATGAAATCAGCATTTTTTTCAGACTTATAATTAGTATTATTGCACAATTAAAAAAAACATTACTTTTCTTATATTTTATTATGAATATTTAATTAGTTTAAAGTATATACATTTTCAGGGTTTCTGCAGGTTACTTCAAATCAAATTGAAGACTTTTTAAAGACTTTTTTGCCAGATTGGGTAGCTTTATTTAGACATAGGGAAATGAAGACCTGTTTAAAATTATTTAAGACCCACAACACATTATTTCAGTGAATTTAAGACTTTTTAAGGCCTAAAATTTTGTTTTTGAAATTTAAGACATTTAAAAAAATTTTAAGACCCAACGTACACCCTGATTATACAACAAAATGTGTGATAATAATAATAATAATAATAATCCAACATTTTAACATAGTTAAAATGTTAAACATTAAGCAACACATTTATAGTGAACATTTTAACGATGCCTTTGAGTTATTTTAAAATTCCTAATTGTGGTTTGGTATTAAAATCATGAAATAATTGTTACTGTTGTTGCTGCTATTATCATATATTCATATTATTATTAAGAATTTAACAATTATTAATACATACTGTTTCTCTTAAAAAATATATCCAGTAATGGGGTGGAGTAATAATGCAGAAACAACAAGAATTCATATTAGTTTTTGGTTTGGTTTTGAAAAACATCAAATAATAGTTCATTTTTAAATAATTACTATCATCATCATAAAACATTTGATTATTATTTATTATTAGTGTTGTCATATAGAAAGAAAATGCATTCAGAGTACACTCACCATTTTATTAATGTTTGTTTTACTACTAAATTTCACTGGCATTTGCAATACTGTTGCAATGCTGTCAGATTATCATATAAACACACAAACCTGTGGACTGAAAGACACCAGGGTTGCACTGACAGTAACGCTGAGCAAAAGCCTCCATCATTCGATCGATCTTCTGAGCTTCACCCGGTAACCTGAAGCTCCACAAGAACTGCCTGCATGCAGCATGGGGAGAGATTCATTAATGAGAAATCAATTAAATGAGACAATCATGACTTTCTGAGACCATCATAGGAGATTATAAACAGTGGATCTGCATGTGCTCACCTGAGAGCCTGAACCAGGTTGAGATCTGTAAACTCGTGAAGCTCCACAAAGGCATGAAGAACCTGAATATTAAACTCATCCCTGGAAAACAAAATCAGACCAAAGAAAAAAAAGCAATTACAATACAATTAAGGAGTTAAAAAACAGCATTCCTATCAGGAAACACCACCAAAACATCGGTGATCCATCTCTCAGACGTCTCCAGTTGGCATTAAATCCCACAGGGGATTACGGCTGGGATTACCGGTCGTGTGTTACTAGCTCTTTCTTCAATGAGGAAATGGGGCATGTCAATAATATCAATGAGCTGAGAATGCATTAACCCACTTTGGTGGTCCCGTCCATTAAGAGCTACACTCTTACACTCCTTCATCCAGCTCCACACTTCTGCCTCAATCCCGGGATTCATTATTGATTTCCAGCAGGTGACACGGAAATTAATGCTTCTGTATGTGTCTGGCTGTGCATTTGGAGACTTAATGTTATTGACCAACTGAAGGATATTGGAATGAAAAACAAGAGCATTTCGGGGTTTTATGCTCAATGGCACAACAGTGTGGTCAAGTTTTATTTTAAGGTACAATTTTTAGTTTTTACTACTACTACTACTATTATTATTATTATTATTATTATTATTATTATTATTATTATTATTATTATTATTAAGAAACCATTACACTGAAAAAATAATTCATTCGAATCCCAATTTTTTGAAGGTAACTGGTTGCAAACAATTTATATGCGCTGAATTTAAACAAACTAATTAAATCTAGTAATTACAGCAAGAAGGTCGCGGGTTTGAGCCCCAGCTGGGTCAGTTGGCATTTCTATGTGGAGTTTGCATGTTCTCCCCATGTTGGCAGTGGTTTCCACTGGGTGCTCCGGTTTTCTCCACAGTCCAGACGTATATGTGAATTGAATAAGCTAAATTGGTCGTAGTGTATGTGTATGAAAGCAAAAGTGTATGTGTATTTCCCAGTGCTGGGTTGCAGCTGGAACAGCATCCGCTTGATAAAACATATGCTGGATAAGTTGGCGGTTCATTCCGCTGTGGCGACCCTAGATTAATAAAGGAATTAAGCTGAAAAGAAAAGGCCAATATAAATTGTTCGCAACTAGTTATTATTGTTTTGTATATCTAAATATATGTAAATATTGTTTGTAAATCCAATGAATAATTTTTTTCAGTGTAACTTTTGCCTGAAAAAAACTCATAATTTGATGCTTATTAATAGGTTAGAAGAAAGTAATTGGGTTTATGTAAATCTATGCAGAATATGTGTATTATAAGTACAATTGAACAGGCGATATCTTCATGATAGGCAGGTAATTTGCTGCCGGAAGGGCATCCGCTGTATAAAACATATGCCAGAGTAATTGGCAGTTTCTACCGCTATGACGACCCCTGATAAATCAAAGGATAGCCAAAGGATAATGAGTGAGTGAGTAGGCAGGTAACAAGCCACTAGTTAAATCAATTGTTACCAAATATATTTATGATATCGGCCATTCAGATTTTTTTACTAGCCAAAACCAAAATATCGAGAAGACTTTATATTTGATAATTTAACGGATATCGGTTTATTTATTTATAGGCCCAGCCCATGGCAGGCTATGTGTAATATTTTAAAGAAGGGGGTTTAAATAAAATACAATAGGATCGGTGGCTGTGCAACATCTCTAGGTAGCCAACTCATTTTAGAGTGGAACTAAAAAAAGTTTAAGGGCAACAAGCCTATATAATACGGTCAGCCGCAATGCCTATTCCTCATGCGTTTTCTCACACAGCAAGACTTGAGACATTCTAAAACACCAGATTAATGAACAAATTTTCAAAGGAACTAATTAAACACATACGTATAATTCATAATAAATAATGTCTTGTAGTTCTGACTAACAGATAAGCTTGCTGTCTGTGCGTTGCGCTAATAGTGAACCTGACATTTGATCTTCATGAGAAAACTATGTTAAAGTGCTACAGCGGGCCCAGTTCCATATTGAACATATCAATTTTGCATTCGATGCATTTACTATTGCATGAAATAAGAAAAAAGTGAAGTGCACTCAGAAATCATCACACTATTCTAAATTAAGTTCTCTTTAATCCAATTCTGCTTAAATTGTAGAAAATCTTTAAAATGACAGGACTTTAATCAAGCCTTTTTCAGTTGGAGAATTACAGTTATCAATAGCTTAGTCCTTATTAATGATCAGATTCTAAAACACACCATTTATAGATGATTGAAAAATAAGATGAATGTGCAATAACTATAATATTTTTATACTTTATAGCTTTACAGAGCATGCGTCAAAGATGTAGTCATTGATGTAAGCCTGCTAACTGATCAAATCACAGAATATGTCAATTTAATTTATAAATATAATTAAATAATAATAATTAAAAGCCTGGGTTCTGGTCCACAGGGGGCTCTTGTTTTGAGGGTTACGTCACGAGCTCAGATTTGGTTGACCAATCAGAGGGAAATGGGCGTTTCAGCACCGCCTTTGAGTGTTTAATGAATTTTGAAGTTGCTTATCCATTTTTCTAACCTAAATTTAAAAAAAAACGAAAATTCACCAAAAATCTTGTTTTTTCATTTTTTATTAGCAATCAAAAAACGTTTTCTTCATTTTCCTTTTTTGTTTGAAAATGGATATAGATTGGACAGAAGATACCCTGATTTACAATTTTTTTTATGTTTATTGTTGCACTAAACTCCAAAAGTGAAGAATGTATGGTATTTATTACTTGATTGTTCAAGCTACCTCACAGAAATGCTCTGTTTGCTGAATGTTAAAAAATGCTGGAATAAATAAAAAAGAAGGAACATCCGGGATCTGTTTCTTTACTCTTTTTTATACTTTTTTCTGTATCATAGAAGTATTGAATTGGGTTTTGGTATCAGCAGATACTCAAAATCAAATGACTAGGACTCGAAGGCAAAAAAAAAAAACGGATCAAGACACCCTTAAAAATAACCATCAGTCACATCTTGTATATAAATCTATATTATTAAATCAGTCTCAGAATAACTGAATTACTTTAAGATTTGTAACAGTCAATCTGTTTGTCAAAAAACAGTCACTGTTTTTTGACAAAACCGTTGGTCAAAAACAGTAAAATGGTTAGAAAATGGCAACAGGGAGGTGAACTACGAATATGAGAATGATCAAGCGCGTGTGAATGACTTGAGTCTGTGTGGCAGCAGCATACTGTATGTTATCATAACAAAACTGTAAGTTTTATTTGAAGTGTAAAGAGTAGTGACGTTTCTACTTTCCTACAAAGAAATACTGTACATTTATCAGCAGCAAAACTATTGATTAAGGTGCGGAGAAACACAGAACAGCAGCAAGAGAACATGCTTTCTATAGAAAATAAAACAATTCTGAGGGCCAAACAATGAAATGGGTTGCCTTTTTATAATGTTGTTTGATCAATTTATTTGCTTGGTCAGCTTCTTTGTGGAACCTTTGAAAGTTCACAAATCCCTCAGAGTAGTGATATGGAACTGTGATGTGGTCAAAACTTGCCTGGAACTACTTTATATGAAAAGAACTTTACACATCAGTATGTTCATCAACCAATCAGAATCATTCATTCAAAACCCCCATAGTTTAATATGACAATTACAATCTGTCATTTTTTCTCTCTCAACAATGCAGTTTTGACTTGCTGCCGCTAACAGTAAATACTTGCAGAATGTTGCGTTTTGGGTTAAGCTGCTCCTTTAGTTTTAGTGCAATCATGCACATCTATAATTACACTGATGGAGGAAAATTAATCCTGTATACCTTTCCTTCCTGCTCTGACAGCTCCCTGATGGCCTGGCACTGACATTGAGTTTCAGTCCATCAATAAAGTGTAAGCTGACCCTTAATGCGAAACACAGCACTTTCATATGGGCACAGGCCATTGTGATGAACTAGATAATGGCCTTTGACAGACTGTAGTGTATCAGAGTGGAACGGCTTATGATCAGTGATGTCATTCTCCCTCGAGCTCTGATTCTGGAAATAGCAGATTTAGCTCTTTAAAATGGACAAGATCTGTTTAACTTACATGAACATGGTAATGTTTGATAGAAAGCAAGATCACTGACTTATTGCTTTCTTTTTTTCTGTACAAATAATGTTTTATTTTATAGTGAAATAATTATTGTCGTATAATAGTACAAATATATATTATCTTAAAATACTTAATAAATAAAATATGCAATGTTATATTGAGCATTTACAAGTTTGTGTGTGTAATTTAAATTAAATATAAAATGTTAATTCATATGCATATAGATAAATATATATATATATATATATAAATATATATAAATATATATATATATATATATATATATATATATATATATATATATATATATATATATATATATATATATATATATATATATATATATATATAATTTATTTTATACATCGGATTAACCCAAACATTTCAGACTATTGCAAAAAATTAAAAGTTGAAATTAGTACTCTGTTTCACTGTATGTGGGAGTGTGGAGAGCTGCAGTTGTTTTGGAAGGAGGTACATAGTGTGGTCTGTAAAATGTGTGAAATGGTTGAAGAATATGTTCCTTTGCAACCTAAACTTTGTTCATTACATATATATCCTGAAAAGGTGGCAGTATATGCAAACCAAAATATTCATATATATGAATTAATTATTTATGATTAATTAATTAATTCATAACGAATTAACTATTTGTAGCCTACCGTTTCTTCTATACCTGACCCGCACGGTCTTTGTTTTATACATAACCAAATCATACATAAATAAAGATAAGTTACACACAAATTAATACCTGCCATTTATTTTTTCCGCCAGACCCTGGCATTAATAGGTAGAGTGATCTGTGTTGTTATAATGGCGTCCACAAACTTTGTTGGTAAAAAAAGGTCCACAACCAACAAAAACCAACCAACAGCATATGAGGTTTTCACTAAAATTACTAAGTACAAGAGTGAAAGCGAAAGACACGTTACCTGATTGAGTCCTTACATAGAGACTAGATTAATTAAAAATAGATTTATTTCATAATAACTAGGTGAATTGCCAGTGTGGTATTATGATATACAGTACATAGTATATACATAACTACACTGAAATTAATCCAATGCTGAAAAACCAGTTGCTTCTAAATATTTTAGGGGAAAGCGTTTTTTTTAGTTCCTCTGATGAATATAAAGTTCAAAAGAACAGCATTTCTTTGAAACCTTTTCTTTTTTACATTTTTAGTGTCTTCACTGCCACTTTTGATCAATTGAACTTGTCCTTGTTGTATCTAAAATGTATATTTATGATTATCTATCTGGTCAAAATGAGAAAATTCTTTTGTTTTTAGCTAAATAAACAAAAAATATATAATAATTTTAAATAAATTAAATATACTATTATGATTAAATGAAAACAAACTTTTTCCAAACCACTTATTCTGTCATCTTCCAAACTTTGCATGCTGCTTTCTGTTGGCCAATCACATAAGAGCAAGGAGCTTGAGAGTCACACAGAGGCGTTGTTAGGCTACGTGTAAAACAAGACAAAAATAAATGAGGGCTCAGCCGATGTAGCACTATGGAGCAAAGGTGCGTTTATTTACAGTGCAAAAGTGTCTAATCCAAAAAATCCCCAAAATAAAGTAGACAAAATATATGTACAAAAATAAACAAACAACAACAAAAAAATAAATAAATAAAGACAATAAAGTAAAAAATTAAATATTTATATTTAAATATATGTATCTATTTATAGTGACCAACTCCGCCCACTATGGCTTCAACCATTTGCAGGTTTACATGTAACATATTAGACTAACACTGATTCAAGAAAGGAAGAAGCTGGTTATCCTTCATGTTCTGAACCCATTTATTAATATTTTATCAGCCCTTATAATTTACGAGCATCAGAAGGACTCATTCCTACCTTTCACCCAGATAATCTCCGATGGCGGTCTTGTTGAGCCCTTCACCCTTGTAGAGGAATTGAGCAATATCTTCACAAGTGTTTTTCAGCAACTCGTTCTCGATGAGGAACTGAATCCCCTGAGAAAACACAACATTCAGCATTAATGTCTTCCTACATGCATGTATTATAACTTCAGTTTCAGGTTGGTGATATTCTTGCTCTCTCCCAGCTCTTAAAAATGAAACCCATGAGGTTGGAAAAATGGAAATAAACTGGGAAAAGTGTGGTTGTGTGATGCTTAGCGACAAAGCTTGTGGGTTTATGCTAATTTGTGAACCCATAAAAGATCACAGGCTTAAAAATGCAAAATGCCAATGGATGTTATGTAATGGGAATCATTTGATTTGCCATAAGCATATCAGGGAGTCTTCATGATTTAGAAAACCTGCTTTTTATATTGCAACCTAATGCTTGTTTACCTTTTTGGGATCCATGTTAAATTTCTTGCGGCCCATAGCCATCTGCTTACTCCGCTGCATGTTTATTCTGAAAACACAGATAGAGAAGAGGGCTTTATTAATGCTGGGGAGGTTTGTTTAAAAAAAAATTGCAATCTAAAACTTGAGGAGCAGAGTTGCACAACACTGAGCTGCACAATTCGGAAAATAGTGTGAGGATCACATTTTTGGGGGTTAAAATAGAGATCATGATTCCCCACAGAATTCACAATAGAGAACCGAAAGGGATAGTTCTGGCAAGTATGAAATATTTCTTACTTTTTTTTTTTTACATTTTTAATGTCCTGATGCCACTTTCCATTAATTGAACAAGTCCTTGTTGAATAATTATTGCTTATTGAATAAATAAATAAAACACTATTTTAGAAACCTTGATTTAGAAACCAAAATGTATATTTATGAATAACAAGTAAGCGACACAGGCTGCATTTACACAGGCAATTCCGATTTTGTGACTTTATCAGATTTTTTGCTAACCTGCTTACATCATCTTTTAAAAGTGACTCGTATCCAATTGTCTGCATTTACACAGCACACGGCAAAGGCACAATGACCTAGAAAAAAAGAGCGGGCGCTGACTGACAGCTGATGATAAAAGAGCGCCCTTTTCTCTGTTCCTGTATTTAATCTGTTTGCAGGGTTTCTTTTTAAATTCTTTTTGACATGTTGTTTTACTAAAATTATGACAGAAATGTTCTTATATGCCCATATTCTTTTAATCTAGGCCTTTTTAAACCAGCAAATATTTTAATGTAATGTCCATGGCCTGGTTTATGCACGTGATGTATGCAAAAGTTTTATATTCGTTTATATTGTTTACTTGGCGGATGCTGCACTCTCTCGCTCTCATTAACATGCTAAAAAATTTGTGCTACATTACATTATTTATATATATATATATATATATATATATATATATATACATATATATATATATATATATATATATATATATATATATATATATATATATTTATTTATTTATTTATTTTATTTTATTTTTTTTGCTCTCGTGTATGAGATTTAAGGTTTGGGGCTCTGCTGAAGTCTGTTCTGAAATGAAAGCAGTGTGAAAAATTTAATCTGCTTACACTGCAGACACAAAAACACAGATCCAAATCGTATCCGATAAATTTCCATATTTGAACAATTGAATTGAAGGTCTGAATCTGATTCGAGTAATAGTTGTGAATTCATGTGATTTTTTCCTGCTTACGCGTACATCTGCCACATGGCAGAAAAAAAGAACAGAATTGAGTCACTTGAACCACGCAGTGTAAATGCACATAAAGAAATATCTTGAATTTTAAGCTGACAAAATAATTAAATAAATAAATTTAATTAATTAATTTTAAGTTGATTAAACATTAAAATATTATATAAATAATAATATATAAATATGTAATATATTAAATGAAATATAATAAAACTTAAAAGGACCGTTCTCGCAATATGAAATATGAAACTCAGTTTTTTTTAAACAAATAAATAAAAACAAAGAAATCAACTGTACAAAAACTAATTTTTAATAGTTTAACAACATTTTAATTTTTTATAATTTTTTAAAAATCTCTGTTTAATGAACATCAACTATAAAGACTTGTATCACTACTGAATGAATCAGCATTTTTCAAGAATCACTTGAATTGATTATTCATAAATATTTTAATTGCCTGTCGCCATCTATTGGTGTAACACAGCAATAACCAAACCTTCATTTAAAGCAGGGGTGTCAAACTCAATTCGTGGAGGGCCGAAGCCCTGCACAGTTTAGTTCCAACCCTGCTCCAACACACTTACCTGTAGGTTTCAAACAAGCCTGAAGGACTCAATTAGTTTGATCAGGTGTGTTTAATTAGGGGTGGAACTAAACTGTGCAGAGCTGCGGCCCTTTTGGAACTGAGTTTGACACCCCTGCTTTAAATGCGTTTTGAAGGGCATCCGCTGTGTAAACATATGCCAGAATAGTTGGCAGTTCATTCCGCTGTGTCGACGCCTGATAAATGAGGGACTGAGCCGAAGGAAAATGAATGAATGGCTCATAGCAAAGGTGCTTTATTAGAAAATGTTTTATTTCAGTTATTTTTATGCATGTTTGTTCATATACTAATCTATTGTTGTATACTAATTTTTACATAATTACTTAAACAATTGTCATATAAACGAACCGACAGAACAAACGCATAAAAAATGTATCGTTTTGGGCCAAAAAAAATTGTTGTGTCATGTCTAATTTAGACTTTGATGTTTTAACAATTAAGTCATCCAACATAGTGCCATCATTAATATCCACTCAAATGGATGGTGGTGTGATGTGTAGTGTTAAAAGCCACAGCCTGTAAAAAGGGCCATGCACTATTGTACCTTGTGTCCAATTACATCCTCCAAAGTGAAGGAGGAACAAAGAGAGGAAGAATTTCATAAAAGGAAGGTTAATGACATGAAACCCATTCTGAAAAAGGCTTTCTTCCATCCAAACGACTCCCATGTGAATCAGAGCAGGCATTCCTGTGAAGCGTTCAGTGGCCTGGTGGTATCATGGGTCATGTATAATGAATGGGCCCGATTCGTTTTGATGTATATTTTGAGGGCCTTTCAGGAAATATGGGTCAGTGCAGTCAGACAGGATCAGGAGCCCTTCACAAAAGAGTTTTACATGATGGACTGGTCTAAGTGTTTCAGAAACTGCTGATATACTGGGATTTTTACGCACAAGCATCTCTAGGGTTTACAGAGAATGGTCCAGAAAGGAGAAAATATCAAGTGAGCGGCAGTTCTGTGGGTGCAAATGCCTTATTGATGCCAGAGGTCAGAGGAGAATGGACAGACTAGAAAATTGGACAATATGAAGATTGGAAAAATGTTTCCCATGGTCCAATGAGTCTCGATTTCTGCAACCAAATTTGAATGGCAGGGTCAGAATTTGGTGTCAACAACATGAAAGCATGGACGTATTGAGATGTGGTGGGACAGGAGATTCGCATCATGGATGTGCAGTCGACAAATCTGCAGCAACTGCATGATGCTATCATGTCTATATGGACCAAAATCTCTGAGAAATATTTCCAGTACCTTGTTGAATCTATGCCACGAAGCATTAAGGCAGTTCTGAAGGCAAAATGGGGTCCAACTAGGTACTAGTAAGGTGTACCTAATAAAGATGTTGATAAGTATATTTTTTTCCAATAGTTTACAGAAGACTAACGTCTCATTCAGTGAAACAATATTTGTACACCAACAATCTTGTCAGGCATATTTACAACAATAATCATTTTATGAAATATTAAAAGACTATTATATTTGAGGTATAAACTACTCTATATATTACTATAAATTATATTTTGCCGACATCTTTCAAAACACAAGGTCTGTCAGTTTTAAAGAATTCAAAATATAATACAATTTTGTAGACGACTTATTAATAATTTTTTTCCTTATATATTTTAATACATACAAGTCATTTTACCTTCATAAAAGTTAATTGACATTAGACTTATATTATATAGGCTTTATATATATACATGTAATCACTTTTGTAAATTAGATATGGAAGCTAAAAGAAAGTTGCTTTACTGTATGTGCGAGTAATGTGTTGAAATCACACATTTGGATGCATCCTATTAGGAATATTTTCCCTGATACAAATGTAATGGAACTGCGACAGTGCTGTAAATTACTATAATACACTGTTTAGACATTTATGCAAAGTCCTGAAACATTTGTGTCAATTTACACCGTCTCTCACTAAAACAGCCCTACATAATTCACCAGGCTCCATCCCACAGGGGACATGATCATTAAAGATTCAAACAGTGGCCCAAAAATGTGTGTGTAATTCCTGTGTGTTAAATGGAGAATATGTATTTGTTTGTTGCGGAATCGGACAGAAACACCATTTAAAAGTGACATTTTTTGTTAAAAGTAAGAACAAAGCAGTATTCATAACTGAGTTTTGTTCATTAAAGGTGCACTAAGCATATTTTGCCAAACAATGTTGATATTTGAAAGCACCTAAACAAACGCCCATAACACAACAGGACCCTGCCCCTTTTTTTATATCTCTGATATCATGACTAGATGACCCTTACTGCTGATTGGCTGCAAGTGTGACTGGGTCCGACTTGGTCAAATACTGCTTCAGGCACATTTAATCTAAAACATTTCCAAGTGAGGAAAAAAGTTGATTTGCTGAGTTGATTATATCCTTCATAAAATACTAAATACTGTAAATCGATTAAATAAAATAATAATAAACAATCATAATAATTACAAATTAATAACAAATTAATAAATATATAATATACTATATATATTTTAAATTGTAATTAAAAAATGATATGATATAAAAATAAGGAATAAAAGTAAAACAAATATTTAAATTAATGTATTACAAATACAATAAATAAACTTTTCATAAAATAAAACTATTAGAAATAAGTAGTATAAAATAGATCAAAAATAGTAATAGTATAAAATAGTAAACACAAAATTCTAATTTAATTGAACTAAAATACAATAAAAAAAATTATTAAAAATACTAGTTAAAAATTATATTAAAGTTTACTAAATTAACAAAATAAACAGTAAACAACAAATGCTGTTAAATAAATAGGTTTTAAAAATTTAAATTTGATTCAAATGCATGTTTCATTACTGGATGAATCAGCATTTTTGAAGAGTCACTTGAATTGATTATTCATATATATTTTAATTGCTTGTCGCCATCTATTGGTTTAACACAGCAATAGCCAAACCTTCATTTGAAGCATCAAAATGGCTATTTTGATCTCAACCCTAAACATTGCTCTGTATATTTCAAATATAAACTTCTATGTCTGTTCATACATTGAATGAATTTAAAAGCCACCACACATTCATTTCATTTCATCTTTTGAGGCACAACTAATTTTGATATTTATGGAAAAAAGGCCTGTTATAATTTGATCAAAATGTTGACAACAAAATTCTGACAAAATGAAAAAAAAAAGAAAATAAAGTTTAAAAAAATCACATCTTACCTTTCTTGAGTGGAGCCAAGACATTCGATCTCATTGGTCACCTTTGTTATCTCATCCTTGAGCCGCTACAGTACATATATATAAAAAAGAGAGAAAACGTGTTTGAGTTAAAGGAGGGCTGAAGGTGTCTCTGCCCTCTCAAAGTCAGCCTGCCTGATGGAGAGCCTTGAATCTAATAAAATGAACACGCTGAGGCTCATAAATATCTAATATGATTATCAAGAATATGAAACATTCAATCATGGCACAGTGTGGCACCTGCATTAAACATCATGATGAAGTCGCGTTTGTTGGGGGAGGGGGAAAAGAGAGAAGAAGGATGAAGAGCAACATAAAGAGATCAAGAGGGGTGTGTGTGTGTGTGTGTGTGTGTGTGTGTGTGTGTGTGTGTGTGTGTGTGTGTGTGTGTTTGGAATAATGAGAAAAAAGCTAAGAAATGCTTTCAACAGAATTTCATCACATATCCCTAATGCAATGAGTTCAATATCACATGAAAGCTGTTTCTGTCGCAAATAGCAGGACTGCAAATGTGATATTGATTTATACATCATATAATAAATAATAAGTTAATATTGTGCTATATTTATGGCACTAAATGTATTAATTATATTAGCTGAGCTGTCTGGATTTCTGATCAACACACAGCAATGCTTCATTTCTAAATGTATCTGCGTTTTGAAGGAATCAGGTGAACCAGTGACTCAAAGGGGCAATCATGATTTGAACGAATCAGCTGTTTGAACGAAACGATTGAGTTAATTACTAGCTACGTTTCCATCCACCTACTTTTATGCTCATTTTGGATATGCGCATAAAAAAACGGTTGATGGAAAAGACAAGATGTGCATTAAAAAACATGCGCATAATTGAGTAGGATAAACTTTTTATTCGATAAGAAAAGATGCGCATAAACTATGATGGAAACATTTTTACTAAACAAATTCCAGTATGCGCAATAAAAAAGGTCATGTGATTTTGTTATAAGAGCTTAACCGTTTCAGCATTAATGTTATTATATTATTAATGTCTCATGCCTTAAAACACCATTATGTGTTCATTGCATGTCAGGATTGCCTTCTGAGGCACAAGTCATTAATTAAATAAGGAAAAGATTCATGCAGCTTCTAACGCAGCAAATTCCGTTTTTACAGTTGATATTTGGCGCCAGTTATTCAGGAAGTGACGATTTTGTTCGCTTTGATTCGTTAGATGGAAACGCTGCTTTATTTGAACGTCTTTTATGCGATAATCCAGTTTTGCGCAAAAAGATAATTCACATTTTTGGATGGAAACATAACATGACTTAGGGTGTTTTCACACCTGCCTTATTTAGTTCGGTTGAATCGCACTAGAGTTCGTTTTCCTTCTTGGTGCGGTTCCTTTGGGCAGGTGTGAATGCAGCAAAATCGTACTCGAGTGCGCACCAAAAGCGGAAGAAAAAAGCGTACCGAGACCTGCTTGGAGAGGTGGTCTCGGTACGGTTTCAAACAAACCCTAGAGCTGTTCATTTGTGGTGAGAATTTGATCTGAACTTAAACAGTACCAACGGCAAAAAGTACTGCGCCTTTTGGACTAATCCAGCTGCCATAGGCCAATACGCTGTGCATTATGGGATATGAAGAAAAAAATAGTTGTTGACAGCGCTTTACCAACAGAGAGAGGGAGGAAACATTACCTGATGGATCGTTGGTAATATTTCCGCAAGATGACCATGTCGCAGTTTAGCTCAATTAATTCACGCCTCCTCCTGAAGTGACGTGCATTAAAACATTGTTTTCAGTCGCGCTTCATTCTTAAAATGTATAAGTTGTCTAAAGCAGGCATATAATCAGTCAGCGCAGTCGTCCCTCCATAGTAAAAAGTGACATTTTGTGTCGGTCGGTTTGTTTACTTGAAGGAGTTCATTGGCATTTTCCCACACGTGAATTCTGACAATCTATTAGCAGTTTAAAAACTATGTTCAACAACATCTGACCAATGAGAGATGTGGATTTTGGCAGATGACTGCATTTTGGTTCTTTTCAACTGGTTTGTACCAAAGTCAGCAGTGTGGTGTGAAAACGGGGGTGGGGAGACAGGGGTTGGCTGTCATGACATAAATAAGCATACATAAACATACATAAAACCTATAGTATTAAATATAGCTTTAGTTTTAAACAACAGAGTAGGAACAAATTCAAAAGACAAAATACATTTATCCTGTATGAATTTCAGAAGCATATGATGATAAAAAAATATTTTTGTTATATCACAGTATATCTGATCTGTTAATAATACATATATTTTGTGTGTGTAAGAAAAAGAGCGAGAGAGAAATGTATACAAACTTTACAGTCTGTAATTTATATATATTAAATGTTTAAAAATAATTGTATGTTCTTGCAGTGCTGTCATTTCTTTATTCGCCGTCATTGTGTTGCAAATGCGAAATAGATGTAAGTAGCTGGTGTATTACTGTATATGCACTTTTATTTGGTCTATATAAAGTGAATTATGCTGTACAATCCACATGTGAGATTGTACTGTAAGCGTGTTCAGTCAGTGTGTGTGTCATAATAACACTCAGAAATCCATCTTCCTGAAGCAGCACAGGGACGGATCAATAACACTCACATTACCAATTCACAAACACACACACACAAACACACACACACACACATACACACACACACACACACACACACACACACACACACACACACAAACACACACACAAACACACACACACACACGCACAATGCACACGCACACACGCACAATGCACATGCACACACTTTTTTCTATCTCTATCTCTCTCTAACACACACACACACACACACACACACACACACACACACACACACACACACACACACACACACACACACACACACACACACACACACACCTTTGCACTTTCGATGCATTAACATCACAACTCTTTCAAGATAAAGCACCCAGAAAGGTCAAGTTAGTGACCTTTAACACCTAACCATCCTCTGCTATAAATTTTGGGAGAGTGTTCCTGACCTCAAACCTCACTAGAGGACTGCAGTCCAGCTGTAAATGCCTGACTCAGAGAGAAATGTGTTCAAGAAATCAATGGCCCTGTTTACATCTGCTATTAAGATTTAGTTTGATCAGATCACATGTGGACAACAGAGACACACTGGTTTTTACATCTGCTGTCTCTCTTTTGTTTTGAATGTTTACGGGGAGCAGGTGTATGTTAAGGCCTTTTCTGAAGTACAAAGTAAATACCCATTTTACATCCATGATATACAAATTTTTGGTGGGTTCTAAAATTAAATACATAGCTGTCAATAGTACACAAAATAAAGGCTGGAATTGATATTTTTACTTATTTACAACACGGACAGTAAGAGAAGAGGTGATTTTTGGTGGTTTAAATGGACTTAACCACATGAGCATCCGATAAACGATATTATATCAAATCGCAATAATATTTATGTCAATAACAATAGGCTCTGGATGTTTTTTACTCTTTATTGATCTAAAAGCCAATCACCCAACAGAAATATGCAACGAGAATTTAAAAGTGTGTTGATATTAGAAATGTCCTGAATTTTCAGCCATCGAAAATATGGTTTGCCATTTAATGAACCCTCTAATTTTTGTGGCTTCAGTCATTGTTAGGGTACTCTTTTAAATCTGGAAGCATTAACAACTTCTATCGAAATATATATATATATATATATATATATATATATATATATATAATTAAAATATGGGTAAATAAGGAAAATAATGATCAAGTTTGCATCTTGATAATCACCCAGCCCTATGAGCACCTTCAATACAACAGCGATCAGTGTGTTTTTACCCACCTCGACACGTGGTAAAATGAACACAAGCTATTTATCATTGTTTGCTTGTGTGTTTTTTTCAGTTTAAATGTATATAAAAACTTCCAAAGTAAACTTTTAAGAGTTTCTTTTGTTACAATGTGTTCATTTGTTTCTGTATATTTCAATAAAACTGCATATTTTTGAAGGTAATTTTCTCAAATGATTGTTTTTTCCTACACTGAGCCATAAATTTCCACTTTAGCAAAACTTACATGAACCAAACATGACAGGTTTTCTTTCATTCAATTATTCATTTTCTTTCGGCTTAGTCCTTTTATTACTCAGGGGTTGCCACAGCGGAATGAACCGCCAATTTATCCAGCATGTATTTTACACAGCGGACCCCCTTACAGCTGCAACCCAGTACTAGGAAACATCCATACACTCTAGTGCTTCCTTGAGAAATTTTTCCAGCTGTGGCGGCAGACCTTTTACACAAATCCATAAATAAATTAAAATTATGGAAACTGTGTTCATCATAACTGAAGGCTACGTCGTGTTTGCTGGCCTCATGCATCACGTACCAGTCAGTCAGTTAGTCAACCAGCATGTCATGTATAAGGATTAAACAAATAACGTACAGCACTACTACGATTACAGAAAAGTTTGTGCTGTTATAATTCACTTACCAAGTTTTGGTGCAGTTATAACCCGCTATTAAAAATAACAATAACAGCAACAACAACAATGACTTAATGTTTTAAACGAGAAGCTGGAATGTAGCCGTGGCGGGATACATTTTGGCGTGGCGCCCCGCCATGGAAGAATGAATGTAGCGGAAAATATACACTCTCACATTCACACACACACACACTCATACACTACGGCCAATTTAGCTTATTCAATTCACCTATAGTGAATATAATGGACTGTGGGGGAAACCAGAGCATGCGGAGTAAACCCACGAAAACGTGGGGAGGAAGTGCAAACTCCACACAGAAACGTCAACTGACCCAGCTGGGACTCAAACCAGTGACCATATTGCAGTGAGGTGACAGTGCTAATCACTGAGCCACCGTGTCGCCCTACATAACAGGTTAGTTCATATCTATTTGCTGAAAGTTTATATTACAACAAATTCAAACATAATTTACCTGACTATATACAACATATTATTCCATTATTTTCTGTCTGAATTTTCTCAATTTCAAAGTGATAAAAAGCGAGATTCCCAAATTCGTAATGAATTCAATCAACTGGGGAATTATGGCAATAAG